CTCTAATCTTATATTGTACATAAATCTGCTGGACTTTTCTGTCTCACTTCTGGGCCACTTGAGCAGTACTGTTATCATTTGTCTGAAATTGTGATATCCTTTGGCATATGGTTTTGATATGAAAACATGCTCTAATTAGCTCTTTGGCAGCCAACAGCCAAAGGGTGGATTTATCTTTTACATGCAAGCTACCCATTTTCACACCAGGAAGTAGATGGCTGGGCTTCAGAAGGGTCATGATTCCTGTCGCCTCCCTGAGGCTCTGCTCCTGCAGTTGCTTTGCTCAGGCTGCCCAGCCTCTGGCAAGGTGCAGCAGGAGATGAGCACTGAGAGCTTGTAACAGCTGCTGGAGGGAGGAAGTGGGAAATGCCAAAATGAATGAAGTCTCCAGCCTTGGGAGTCTTTGTTTGCCATTCAGCTATTGCTTATGTTACATATTATGTTACAGGCATCTATGTGGCTTGTATAATTGTGTTGTCTTGCAGAAAGCCTTTAAGTGGTTTAATTTTTCATAGAATTTTTAAGGTTGGAAAGACCATCAAGATCATCCAACCGTCGGCTCATGCCTACTAACCACATCCCTCAGTGCCATATGACATGTTTCTTGAACACCTCCAGTGGTTGTGACTCCACCACCTCCCTGGGCAGCCTGTTTCAAAGCGTCACCACTCTTTCTGAGAAGAGTTTTTTCATAATGTCTAACACTTTGGCCATAAACTGGGCCAGTTCTGAAATCTGAGCAGGAAAAACCCTGCGCAGAGGGAGAGGGAATGGCAAGCTTTGTCAGTTCATGTGCTGAGCATCCCTACTAGTTCCTGTATGCTGTGGGGCAGTTCCCCAGCTCTGTCCCTTTATCTTCCACAAGCAGAGCAGGTTGTTCTCAGGCTGGCCTATCTAACACTTCCAACATGAAGCCTCTGCCACCCCACAGCTGTCCAGCATGGATGCAGATTTTCTTGCCTTGGGACCACAACTGTTTGGGCAGTTGTCTGGCAGCCCGTATCCTCTGGGGCAACTGTGCTTGTGGAAACCTGCCCAAATGACCATGGTACATTTTCTCTTGCTGTGGAACCTGCAGACTCCTGCCATGACATTTGGTTTCTGCCACTGCCATTTCAAAATAAAAGTGCCTTTCTTTGAACCTGGTGGCTCAAGCCAGAGATCAATCCTTTGTGCTTATTTTGGGTTCTTTCTCTGCAGTATCAGCCCCTATTTATCCCCTTTCTGTGCATATCTGTGAGAATTGTGCTTTCTGTACTGCCGTTTCCACTTAAGCTTAATAATGTTTTCAGTTTGAAAAGGCTGCTAGCCTGGTGGTTATCAGATGGAGAAAAGGCATTGTGTTTGCTCTGGCCTTTAGTTCCCAGATAGCCTAACGGCAAATTGTGTTCCTGGAAGCAGGGAGGTGGCTTGCAAGATTACGCAGTGCTGGGGTGGGGGGACGCTGTCACACACGGTGGGGGACTGAGGTGGGAGGTGGAGAAGCTTTGTGTGCTCAGCTCACATATGGAGCCACAATCCAGCATGGATCCAGCAATGTTCTCTGCTCCTTGGGACACCAAAGCCGTGCAGTGGCCAGGCCCTGGCTGCTCTCCTACAAGTCCTTGGATGAGTTAGGAGCAGCAACCATCTGCCTTTTGCCGGTTACCAGTCCCCAGAAAAAGCATAGAGGAGAAGACTGACGTACCCTTGCCCCAGTGTTCCTTAGCACCCCAAGGGAGGCACTGCTGAAGCATGGACAGTGAAACAACCCAGCAGCATATGACCCAGCAGAAATGCACTCACCTCATCTTGGCTGGTTCATATATTTATCCCCAAGTTTCACTTATTTGTTTCTAGTAGATCTATTTCCCAAGTGTTTGCTTCTGCTCGTCCTTGTTCCTCCAGTTTGGCTTAGATATCCATACGGATGCATAATCTTAGGCATCCAGACTGATTTCATCATGTGCATTTTTTCCCTTTGGATTTTCATTGCCTCTGATGGGCTGATTAACGTCCCTCCCAGTTTCCTTTCCTTCTGCAATTTTAAAAATGTGTATTCAGCTCATCTTTTTCTTCACTGATTCTTTGTGATATGTGTTGGCCCTCTTCTCATCTTCAGTAAAAAGAACAAATTTTTTTTTTTTAAGCTCTCTGATCTCTCAAGGAGTATCTCTCAAAACCATGCTGACTTTTCCCTTTTTCTCCCCAGAAGACACTGAAAGAGATGTTCTATTTTAAACACGCTTTGCTCAGGATTTTACAGCTTTCTTTCGTATTTATAGATTTAATATTTCTCCTTGTTGCTTATGTTTACACTGAAGATTTGTTTTCATTTCAAACTTATTGTTGCGTTCAGCACAGTCTTATCTGTCCAGACAGAAGCTGAATAGTTTGTTATTGATTACACTTTTTCCTATCATAGTCCATTAGTTCCTGCCCATTAGTTTGTCTTCTGTTTACAAGACAAGAATATTGTCACTGGTGCACTGTAGTTATCATTGTTATCCAGGGACACTTCTGCAGTGATGCTGATGCACACCACAGTTTTGAGAATCTATATAAGCATTTCCTTATTCAGTCTCCTCTCTGTCTACAAGGATCCATTTCACAAGGCAAGGAACTATTTGGCTTTGCTTTCTTTATTTTTATCACTGTTGCCTTACCTTCACTATTTTACTATGTCATTGACTGTCAGATGGTTTATCTCCAAGAACATTTTCCTATCCTCATGCTCCAGCGGAACTCCCCACTGCAACATATTCCTTGGTTTCCAGCAATCTCCAGCTTGAAGAGATGGCTCTTTTATTTGGGCATCTGTTAAAGCCCTGCAGCAGCAGAATCCTGTGTGAATTGACCTGGTCACCCTCTGAACAATACTCCATGGCAATGGCCATGGGTATCACACATAATAAATTATGCAGTATGTGTGAAGAAAGTATTTCCTTTTTTTTTTTTTTTCAAATCAGAGTATTTCATCCAGTGCCATTAGTTACTGCACTATGAGGTGCAGAGGACAATGCCCTCTCATATTTCCTAGACCTCTCTTCTCATGACAAAGGGTTGTAGTGTACGTGATCACATTTTGAGTGAATCCATTCCTGCTCCAGATTCCTATAAAGGAATCCATTAAGGTAGTGAGGCACTGGAGCAGTTTGCCTGGAGAGGTGGTAGATGCCCCATACTGGAGACACCCAAGGTCAGGCTGTACGGGGCTCTGAGCAACCTGATCTACCTGTGGGTGTCCCTGTTCACTGCAGGGGAGTTGGACCAGATGGCCTTTAAGGGTCCCTTCCAAGTCAAACTATTCTATGATTCTGATTCTCTTCCCTGTTTCTCCTGTGGGAAGTCTAGCAGTGTGGATGCGGATCCACTATTGATTGATTAATATTGCTCCAATGTTTTCTTCCTCTTCTTTCTCTAGTAACTCTGTGAGCCACCTGTCTACAGTTCAAACTGCCACAGCTTTGCAGGCCTAGTTCTATACCTAAAAGCATGATTTCTTCTCTTGCCCCAGATATTCACCAGCAGATGCAATAAGTATTTTTTAAAGCCTTGCCTCTTTTACATCCTTGCACTATCACAGCTGTAACATGCCTACTGTGAATAATATCCAGTTCTGTGTACCTTATTTGTGGCCTCCCAGCACAGACCTGATGCCTTCAGATAATGACCTGCAGCAGGATGAGGACCTCCTTCCAGTGTCTTGACTGCTGGTGCCGCAGCCCTGTGGGGCTCCAAGGCTGGTTTTCATAGTTGTGCTTGATTGCAGCTCATGTGGTGATGTGTGGCATGGGAGCTGCCCCATGTCCACATTCCCTGCAGATCCCACGGTATGAAATTCCCATTCAGCCAAGATTCAGCTCTTACCTCGACTAGGCTTGTCATTTTGGATCATGCTTTTTCCTGCAATTCCACGGCCAGTGATGGGCAGCGGCACCACCGAGTGCAACTGCACTGGAGCCAAGAAGTCCTTGGCCAGGAGCGCTGCAAGAGACTAACTGCACCAGCAAGAGCTTCTCACAGGCAGGCAGGGGGAAAGAGCCCCTTTGCTCTGGCCATGAAATCAGTCATGTGTAGGTTTTTGTCCGGCCCTGGGGGGTGGGGGAAGGAATGTGGGTTGGGCGAAGTCTAGGATTACACCACGGCTGAATTTTTTCTTTCCACGCTTTAAATCGCCAGCACCTTTCGGTCCTGCCTTCACCTCTCCTGCCTGCTAGTGCTCCGACAGTGCCATCCTCCAGGTAAACCCGTGCCTGCCCCCCATGCCCACCTGTGTCTCGTGTGGATGAGAGGTCACCTCGCGTTCTGCTCGTTTAATCATTTTCTAACTCTGACTGTTCTACTGATGGTTCCTCCGATCCTTCTAAGCAGCTGCTGTCAAACTCCTGTGAGGGCTCCTCACTCCTCTTTGCCTCCCCAAGTGCTTCATATGGGGCCGTGCAGGGCAGGGCAGGGCGGGAGGGAGAGGGTCAAAGTGCTGCTTTGCCTGTTTTTTTTTTTTTTCCTCTCCCCGGGTGAAAAGTGTCATTTGCTCCAGTGCCTTTTCCTGCTCTCCCGGTGACAGTGTGAATGGATGGCCAAAATTTCCTGCATTACACTGAGGCTGGAAGGGCTGCTGAGAGCCTGTGGCAGACCTAGTGGAAGAAGGTATCCTCAGTGGTGCAAGGGTCTTCAGCAATCCCAATTTCAGTACCAGGATTTGGTGCAAACAACTGCCCTCAGCCTTTGCCCTGCAGGGCTCTGTAGCTAGGAGGGCATCATGCCCACGAGTAACAGGCTCAAACACCTCCAGCCTCCTAAATTATAGAATCCTAGAATGTTTTGGTTTGGAATGGACCTCAAAGTCCACCAGACTCCAACCCTCTTCCCTTGAGCAGGGCTGCCACCCAGCAGATCAGGGCCCCATTCAACCTGGCCCTGTGTGCCTTCAGGGATGGGGCATCCACAACTTCTCTGGGCAGCTGTGCCAGGGCCTCACTGCTCTCTGAGTAAAAAAGTTTGCTGGCTGCAGAGAATAGGTAGAGCCTTGGGGAGCTGTGGCATTTGTAATTTTTCTTTTTCAGCACATGGAAGGATAGCACCATCCTCAAAATCAAATTACTTTTATGTCACATCTAGAAAATCACTCTTAACAGCTGCCACCACTGAAAGCAAAAACTCTAATTTCATTTTGTCTTCTTTCTACATCTAAGTATTTTCTGTGCTTTCTGGCTTTCACTACATAGTCTGTGAAGCCAGACCTTAGTAAATGGCAACAGAGGTGACAAGAAACCCGTACAAGACCTCTCATTAAGTTTCTAATCCTACTCTCACCCCCCTCCAGCTCCAACTCTGTTTCTCAGTCTGCGCTGCTGTGGGAGATCCTGCAGACAGATGGGCTTTCAGAAGCAGGAATGTTTTTAGATGGGTCGATTAAAAATGATGAAACTAATAATGGCTTGCACAGGCAAAGCTCACATATGCTCTTGGCACCTTTCTTCTAGCAGGAATCATTATAAAGAACAAGTAAGGGTTTAGCACGCAGGTGTTTGTGCATCTCTCCCGTCTCTTGCCCTCCATAGCCCAAATTTTGGTCTTATTGCACAGCTTGTTTTGAACATAACAAAGGAAACTCTCTCTGAAGGTGGGATGGATTACAGTGTCCCTGGTGCTGTTAGTAATGGCGAAACGGTGCCTGCACAACCCAGCATGGAGAAGGAGAAAGAGGAGGAGGATGAGACTCTGGAGCGAGGGCAGTGGAACAACAAACTGGAATATGTCCTGTCGGTGGCTGGGGAGATCATCGGCCTGGGAAATGTCTGGCGCTTCCCCTACCTCTGCTACAAGAATGGTGGAGGTGAGTGCAGCCCCAGCCAGCTTCACTGCTCGCCACATTCCCACTGTGATACCTGTGTTGAGCCTTGCTCACCACTGGCAGCAGCCACGCAGAAGTACCTGAGCAATAAGACTCAACCCAGGTGCTCCATTGCAGGGTGATGAGGCACAGACCAGTGTACTTAAGGGTCAGAAGGAACACGGCTGTCACCTGATACATGGATGCTACACAGTCTCACAGCTCAGCAATGACCCCTGTCCTCCCTCAGGCTGCACTTGTTCAGAATTTTGTGCCTGCTTTTAGATTAAGGCAGCCTTTTAGGAGAGAAAACTTTATTTAAAACATGAAAGCCCAAAGCAATTCTCAAGTTGGATTTGGTGGTATGTAGGGAGGGAGCTTCTCTCTCAGTTTCGTTGTTAATTGGGCTCTCTGGAAGGGCAGAGGTGAGGGGATGCAGCACTTGGCGGGGAGTTGGTGGGCACTGGGGATCCAGGGCTGAAATCCCCTGGCGTTAGCCGGGGGCAATCTCATGGGCCCCGCTAAACTGCTTTCCTCCCAAGGGCACAAAAGAGGATTAGCCGCTGTTTAGCTACTTTCACGCTGTGCTTTGCTTGGTGCTTGTTCCTTTTCACCGTGAGCTTGGGAATGTTATTCTCTGTTGAAAGGGAGGGCTGTTCTTGCTCCCCTTCCCGTGGGGCTGTGTGAGAGCAGCGCCTGCTCCCCTCACTGCATGGATCCTGTCAGGCAGCAGGGCCTGGAGCCCGCTTGGCATCACTGCCTGCTGAGCCCTGTAGTGCTGGTGGCTGGGGACAGTTCAGAGAGGGCTTGGGAGAGCTTCCATCAGCGGTCGGACGGCAGAAGGGTTCCTCAGCCTTCTTTCCCACAGCCTGAGCCTGAAGCAAGGCTCTGTGAAGAGATGAAGCATGAGGTCTGAGTGCAGTGGGCAGCAGAGCTCTTGGGAAAGGCAGAGAGGCCAGGCCAGGCCACAGCTGGGGCCTTTCTGTCCCCAGAGCCCAACCCCATGCCGGCTGCTGTAGGCACCAAGTCCCTCAGAGTGCACTGGTATTTAAAAGCTGCCAGAGGTTTTGTTCTCTGCTCCCTGGGGTAGCCTAGTCCAGGCACTTGCTTCTCAGGTGCTTAATTAGAAGTGAGGGCCTTTATCCTTTGTCTTTCTTGAGGGGTATGTCCACACAACAAAGAAAGACTCTAACGTATTTAGCGATGCCATATTTAAGTTCTGTGCAGTGGCAGAAAAAAAATGTAAACAGGAAAAAAAAAGTTATTTCCCTATCGTCAGGCACTCCCATGGCAGGCAAGTCTGGCCGATTGGGAAATACTGGGGCAGCCTGTCTGGTGTGCAGCCCTGTTCTGTGGGGAAGGGACCAGGACACAGTGTCCCACATCTTCCAGGCAGTGGGTCCATGCTGCAGTGTCCCACCTCATCCCATTGTGGCCCTGTAAGCCATTGGACTGAGTGTGAGGTGGGACTTCTGGCTGAACCCCAAGACCCTTCCCTCTCCCCACTCATACTAAGCTTCTTAATGAAATCCCTTGAGTTTTTAGTTTGCTTGTGTCTGAGGATTGTTATTCCTTCTGAACTCCTGTCAGCCTGACCTGAGAGCCAGTTAGCATCTGTCTGGCAATGAAGAGGACTATGCAGGGGGCAGGCAGGGCTTGAGTCTCCTCAATAGGTCATCAATGAAGCTGGGCTCTTGAGCAGCTTGTGGGACCATCCTTCAGGCTCTGCAGGCTGAAAGCTGTTACTGCAATTAACGCCAGCCTGGGGTAACCAAACACCTGATGGGTTTTGTCCTTCTCTGCCTCGTTTAATGGCAGATCTTGACCAGTAGGGCAGGGGATATACATTTCTGTAATATTTTATTTACCTTTGCATGTTCTTTTGTCAGCAAACCAAGGCTGGGTGAAGGTATTACTCTGCATGTATCCTCAGTTTTTTGGTGTTTTTATCCACAGACAGACAGAACAATCAGTGTAAAAGGAACTGACAACTTGTTCAAAAATAATAATGATTTTATGTCAAGATATTCTCTTTTATTTATATGCAACTACTGAGACCTGTTTTCTGTGCACACACACATATGCACAAAAAGGCCTAGAGACTTTCCTTTCTTATCTTCTTTCCCATATATTAAGTTTCTCAGGCAATCACATTGCTCTGAGCAATACTACTTGAGGAAAATCCCTTTTTCCATGCCCTTCCTACCCTCCTCAGCAGACATCCCTCCCATTCTGTCCCCATGTGGTATCCCAGAGGAACTTTCTCAGGGCCAGGCTGAAGATCACAGAATCACAGAATTGCAGGGGTTGGAATGAACTTCAAGAGATTATTGAGTCCAAACCCCTTGCTGAAGCAGGTTCCCTACATTTAATTGCACAGGTAGGCATCCAGATGGGTCTTGAATATCTCCATAGAAGGAGACTCCACAGCCTCTCTGGGCAACCTATTCCAATGTACCAACACCCTTACCATAAAGAAGTTCTTCCCCGTGTTTGTGTGGAACTTCCCATGTTCAAGTTTTAGGCCATTGCTCCTTGTCCTACCCACAACTGAGAAGAGCCTGGCCTCATTAATTTGCCTCCTGCCTCCCCTTAGATAATGATAAACATTAATGAGATCCCCCCTCAGTCTTCCCCAGGCTGAACAGATGCAGGTTACTCAGCCTTTCCTCATATGGGAGATACTCCAGGCCCTTTACTCATCTTTGTAGCCTTCCACTGGACTCCTTCTAGGAGATCCCTGTCTTTTTTTAACTGAGAGCCTAGAACTGGACACTGTAGTCTAAATGCGGCCTCACCAGGGCAGAGTAGAGAGAAGGACAATCTCCCTTGACTTGCTGGCTATGCTCTTTTTAATGCATCCCAGGATGCCATTGGCCTTCTTGGCCACAAGGGCACACTGCTGGCTTGCGGCCAGCCTGTTGTCCACCAGAACACCCGGGTCCTTTTCTGCAAAGCACCTCTGCAGTAGGTCAGACCCTAACCTGTATTGATGCTTACTGATGAGCTGAATCCAGCCACGTGATGGAACTTATTTCTCCTCTGTGCTGCTTGAATCTGTCAGGTGCCTTTTTCATCCCCTACCTCATCTTCCTCTTCACCTGTGGCATCCCTGTCTTCTTCCTGGAGACGGCACTGGGACAGTACACCAGCCAAGGAGGTGTGACGGCCTGGCGGAGGATCTGTCCCCTCTTTGAAGGTGAGTGGGTTGAGATCAGGAGGCCTGGGGACCTATGGGAGGGCACTGTGCTCATCCTCTGACCACACCTGCAGATCCCAAACCTTCCCCAAATTACGCCTTCTCACCAAACAGTTCCTGTTCTTACATTGCATCCCAGATTCCTTCTTCACTCTGGACAGAAACTTTGCACCCAATAAAATTGATCTCCAAGATCTAATGATGAACATGCTTCCGGCAGGAACTTACCTAAAATATACTACTGTCAGTGCTAAGTCATTTTTCTGAGTTTATGGAGGGCTTAAAATCTTCGTTGGTGAAAGGCGTCAGCTGTCTTAATAAATCATTAACTGTCAGATCCACTTCTTGCACTATTTCAGCATGATTATCCAGTTTCAAGTCACTTTCTGTGATCTCTCAGGTCTTAACAGTTGCTTCTATCCTACATACCAAATCTTTTAGACACTCCTCTGGCACCTATCAGGGAAGTTGCATGTTGTTAACACAAAAACTTCCCAAACAATGTAGAAGGAAGAGGAATGAGAAAATGAAGGGAAATTGAATTTTGGTAGAAACGTTATTCAGCAGCTGGATCACTGTCGTGTGTTTCTGTCCCCTCTGGGTGGTTTTTCAGCCACGATCTGTCTATCCCCTTCCTTCTGCCTTGGGGCTGGACCCCACAGAGTGCTTCATGTGGACTGCCCAAGGCCTGGAGATGCTGGGCAGATTCAGCTCCCTGCATGGCTGGCCAGGCAACATCTGATGTCTAGAACCTCAGTAAGGCTGCATTTCTAGTAGGTCTGAGACCCTAAGAGCACATTCATCCCACAATGACTACTCTCCAAGTCCGTCTGCTGGTGCAGGTTGTGTTAAAGTGCTTGTACAGATGGTGGGATGTGGGAAGGAGATGATGGCATGAGTGGCTGACCTGTTGGTGTAGATCCAGCAGCACAATCAAGATGTGGGACAGGGATGCAGCACAGTGGGGGCTGTCAAATGGAAAGGCACTGACCCTTTGGTGAAGCCTGGTCTCATCTCTCAAGATGTGGTTCACTTGGGGCCTCCTTTCTGCAGGAATTGGTTATGCCTCACAGGTCATCGTTGTGCTCCTGAACTTCTACTACATCGTTGTCTTGGCCTGGGCCTTGTTCTATCTCTTCAGTTCATTCACCATTGACCTTCCCTGGGGCAGCTGTGATCACGAATGGAACACAGGTGGGTGTGGAGAACCCTTTGGCTCCAGGAAGAGGTATGCCCATGCTGAACCCATGAAACCCAAAACTGACTCAAATGGGGCTTGTAGGTGTGGGGAGCCCCCAGTGATTGTGCTGCTGGTGCTTTGGGGAAGAAGCTGCAACCACTGAGGCTATTTTCCTCTTTGGCAGTGATGAAAAATCCCATAATCCTGTTGTGTGTTAGCCACAGAGCCAGTGCTGGTTGGGACTGCTCACTGTGCCTGCTGGAAGGAAAAATTAAATGCCATCTTCTTGATTGTCCCAGGTTTCTTGCCAGCCTTGACCTGGAGGGATCTCCTTTGGTGCATCTTTGGGACTACTCAAAATTTATCTCTGAGTCAATACTAATGAATGCTGACACTGTGGATGGAAAGGGAGCATTTTTTCTGATCCTGCAGTACACCAGCCACTACTACTCACACTCCTTCCCTCCCTGGGCTTCTCCTACAGGGAACTGCATGGAGTTCCAGAGGGCGAATTCAACCCTAAATGTGACCAGTGAAAATGCCACCTCCCCAGTCATCGAGTTCTGGGAGTAAGTAAAGGACAGGCTGGTATCCCTCTTTCTTCCAAGACAAGCAATCCCTGGGCAATGAACCAACCTGCAGAGGTACTTCCTATTAAACCATGCTGGTCAGAAGAGGTCACAGTGAGCAAGCTGGTCAGATCAGGGCAAAGGCTCTTGGGGACAGCGCAGTCAGTCAAGGATGGCATCACTGAGCCTGTGGTGTTTGTCCAGAGCTGTGCTGGTGTGTCTCATTGCCAGTGGACTTGTCCTTCTCTTACACCAGAGGTGTCCAGCCTTTTGATTTGCCTGGGATGCAGTGAGTGAAGAGGAATTGTCTTGGGCTGCATATAAAAAATATAATCTTGCTAACATATATAAATAAGAAAACTTTTTTTAAAAAACATTTTTCATTAAAACTTATAAAGAAGGCAATAAAACTAGTGAGATGGGCATGTAAGTCTTACACTGTATTCACATACCCCTTGACTGTTTCAGCTTCTTCCTCTCACTGACTTCAATGAAGGCCAGCTGACTCTGTGCAAGACCTTGCCGCACTGTTGCTTTACTTCCTCTGATTCTTGACCTTTCCTCTTCTCCTTTATTCCTCTGCTGTTGCTCTCCCTCTTTCCCTGTTTGTGCTGCTTCTCTCCCTGCCTCCTGTCATGTTCTTCATTGCCACCCATGAACTCCCTTACACAGTTGTTTTCTCCTGCAATGCAGGTGAATTGGCTGTATGTTCCCTACCTCCAAACCATGAATCAGACTTACCAAGGGTACAAACCTCATTAAAATTAGAGTCACTGCCTTAGGAAATGAAAGCCATAACCATGTGCTTTGGTCGGGATTTATATATAGATTGCAGCCCTTGACCTGCTTGGTAGCTGTGTCCATGCTCAGGATATGGGTCCTAAGACTGCAGCTGGAAGCAGGGTGAGATCTGTGGTGATCCACACTGCAGCATCGCTGTGGTGGGTCTTTGTCTGCATGTTTTGCAAGCTTTAGCATGGTCAGCTGTTGAGGAGGAAACCTTAAAGCCTTTTGAATTACTAAAGGAAGCCATGCTGCTGATGTTTTTATTAGATAGTAGATAATGAATATTAGATATTAGACATTTTTATTTCAGAGTGGCTAATATGCAAGCCATTCTGAGGGCAGAAGCTCACCAAAATGAGAACAAAGTACTGAGTTCAGCTCACAGCCTGGTAAAATCTGTGCCCTCATTTTCATGGTCTCCTTCCCTTGTGTCCATGCACTGCTTACTCCAAAGTACAGAGTTCCTTTATTTCTGGCATGAAGGCTTAGACCTGCTGTCTCTCTGATGATGGACACAGACCAGCACCAAGTCCTTGCTGAAAGACTGAGAAGGCAATCCCTGCTGCCACTACAGATTACCCTGGTGAACAGTGGCTGGTGGAGGGCTCTGCCCTCACTGCCATGTGCCACCAGCACAGAGCACATCATGTCCCTACAGCATCCCTGGGGCAGCACAGGGCTTGAAGCACTTCACTTGCAGCTGCCTGTGAGCAGAGAGATCGTTACAGGCTGGAAGACACTGAATACATACATTGCTGCTAATAAGCTTATGGCATTTATTCCTTCCATAGTTGGTATTTTCCTCTTCTCCTACAGTTCCCTTTTACTTTTTTCCTTTAAACTGCTTGCAGGCAGTTAGATGCTGTTATGAACTCAGACTGCTCTTCCTGAGGCTGGCTGCTAGAAAAGCTGATGCTCACTTTACCACTGTGAGCATCCCTGTGTTACTGGGAAGCCAGCACACAGGACTGGAAATTTCCAGTGTAGTGTTGGGGAAGCGGTGCAGGAGGCAGGAGTTTCTTAGGGAAGCACTGACCTGCCACTGGGGTGAAGGCACACTTCTGTGGCCTTTCCTGGCTGCAGTACAGTGCCCTGTTAGTTACACACTAACTGGTTATTCTTCCCCCACTGGTTACAGAGTCCATGCCCCTAGAAGCAGGAATGAAAGCAAGATGAAAATAAAATAGTTAGAGTTAGCCTGATTTCTTGTGAACCCCTCTTATCCTCTCAATCCATCTCAGACAGTGGTTCTCCAGGAATGCAATCTTTATTTGAGGATAATTGAAACAGGGTGGGTTGTGAGCATGCTGTACACACTGCTGCTGGGCTCTAAGGTAGCACACGTCCTTCTCTGCTCATCTCGGGACTGGGGTTTGGGACAGTGTTTCACACTGAGATCCATCAGTGCAGTGTAGAAGACAGAAGGAGGAGAATGAGTTCTTGCTTTTGTAAATGGTGAGGAAGACTTGACATACCATAGCTCTGAAAACTGCTTTAAGGCAAGGGTGAGACTGTAAGACCTTGGCCTTCTAAGCTGGTGAGTGTAAGATGGAGAAGAAACACTAAAGTTTGGAAGGGGAAAGGAAAATAAATGTCTTGGTCCAACAGCCCAGCTGGAGAGCAAGTGTAGAATCCATGTGTGAACCACCAGGCTGGTAGTACTGGTCCATATTCTAATTCTATTAGTGGGCTACAGTTTGATACCTCTGCAGCTTGCAGCTCAGAACTGGGTCTTGTTTGTAGAACATCCTTTCTCCTCAAAGTTGTTAGGTGTTCTAGGTGAGAGGTGTGTTGGGAACACTGGTGGCCAACGCTGGAGACACTTGGGTGCTGTTTTCTTCTCTCTCCCTCTACAGGAGGAGAGTGCTGAAGATTTCTGATGGCATCCAGCACCTGGGCAGCCTGCGTTGGGAGCTGGCCCTGTGTTTGCTGCTGGCGTGGATCATCTGCTACTTTTGCATCTGGAAAGGGGTCAAGTCCACAGGAAAGGTGAGTGCTAGGCTCACATTGAGCCTCCAAGTGCAGGCCCAGAAGACCTTGCTATCTTTGTGTGTAAGAGGTTGCTGCATGTTCCCTTCCCTCCTGCCACAGCATGAACAGTTTGTGCCCCTGCTGGATATTTTCAAATTCATTAGAAAGTAAACACTCCTGTACTTAAAGCTTTCTCTGCCTCAGCATCATGGGGATATTCTTTTTGTCTTTCTTGTTGGTCCTAGCTCTTCCTATAGGTGCTTGCATTCCCCATGTATAAGATTTCCTTTTTTAGCCACAATGGTTATCACAGAGGCATTTCTCTGAATTTTTCTGAGGCAGGTTGATGTGACTATCCAGCTCCATGCTAAGCTGCCTCATCCTTGCCTCCTCTCTCTCTTGCAGCACTGACACAATTACTTTGTTTCTACTTCTGCCTCCTGACCCATTCCCAGTCTGGAGGCAGCAAAAACAGATGGAAGTGAAATTGTTCAGTGTGTTATCTAGATGGTGTCTCCTCAGTGTGCTGGGTTGTAAATTGTAGCTGCATCAAGTTGATGGCATGGATATTATCAGTTCCTCCTTCTTCCAGGATAGTCTGGAATTATGAAACATGAAGGCAAAGTCAAGCAGCTTGCAGAGACAATATTTCCTGGTTTCCATGGAGTAAAATTAGAAGAAAAGAGCAACTGCTTGCTGCAGTGGCCTGGGAAAAGAAAGCAGAGACAGTATAATAACAGCAAATATGATACAAAAGTACAGCAAACACAGTGTGGGAAGTGCTGAGAACAAATCCAGTCTATTTCAGATCCAAGTTCAGTGCTAAATGCAAGTGATTCTTAGCAAAAAGGGCTAGCAATGGTGAGATCTTATCCCCTTGAAAACAGAAATCTTTCAGTAGAGATACATGGCCCATTGGTTTATCAGCCCTTGAACTGAATTTGTCCTACGCAGAACAGTTTTGCAGCAGTTTGCATCCTCAGATGCAGAGATTGCCTGTCCCCAGAGAGCTCTCGCAGATGCAGGAGGTTGTCACAGATGGAATCACTTTGCCGAGGCATGTGGATCAGGTTCAAATAAACCCTGGATGTTGTTGACCAGCATGTGACAGAACGATCACACAGGTCCCGGCAAGGTTCCTAGTGATGGAGCTAGAGCTAACAATGCCCAAGAAATAAAAAGATTGGGTTTGAGCCAAGCATTGAGTAATATCTCATTGGATCCAGATGTTCGTGTTGTTAGATAGAAGTTTGGAACTCTCCATTCAAGAAAACATTCTCCAAATCCAGGCTGCTGGTCTCAGTGCAGATGTAAGTGACTGTTGAGTGAAAAGTTCAACATGTGAGCTCTCGCAGGCACACAGGACATTACCAAGTTCAGAATCTGAACCATATACAAAAGAACAAGCAGATTGTATTCTGAGCTCCTAAAACTGATGTTATTTAGAGATCCATCTGAAAGTGTGCAACCTGCCACCCTGGAAGAAAATGCACCAAGGTTGAAAGGCAATGCGTTATTTTTAAGATTTCTGTTTCAAATATTTTGATTTCATGAGCTGAGAAATATTAGACTTTCATCCTGTCATATCCTGAAGCAATAATTTGGTTCTGTGGTAAGTACAGAGATGACTGTTAAACTCGCAGGACCCATAGATTTGATTAACTGTCACTGAGAAGCTCTAAATCAGAGCCTTCTTGAAACCTTGAGATTGAAATGAATGATGGCATTTGCCAGTATTGAAGAATGCTGTCCCCGGGTTCCTTCAACATCTAGGATGCAGATTCAGACAGACAGGGATGGAGCTGCTTACGCAGACATCTCAGGCAATCATGAGCCCCAGCAGGGAGATGTTTTTCACTGATCTCTGTGACATTACCCAAGACCGCTGTGATATATAGAGCAAGGTGTATTAAATGCATAGAGAACTTGGGGCTGCAGGCAGAGGTGATAATCAAAGAGTTTGTTTTTCAAGGATAGCACACCACTCAAATCCTTCTGTCCTTCTACATAATAAGACTGAATCACCAAAATATGTTTCTCAACTTAGAGCAGGGCTCCCATGACAGTGTCAGGTTCTTTGGATGTTGTTTTATTCAAATAAAGTGTATCAAGAGGATGGATCCAGAAAAAATCACTGCTTGTCTCACAAGAAATATCCAGGGAAGAGAGAAGGTGACTGTGTTGCCCAGGGAAATCATCCTCTTGCTGCTGGCAGTACTTCCTCTGCTGCAGAAGCTGCTGTAACAGTGACAGCCTGTCCCTGCCATCAGGGAATGGTGTGCTTTAGGGGGATTTTGAAACGGCTCGTTCTGGATGGATGGACAGGTGGGAGAAACAGATGATTTCACAGCATCACATATTGTGGTTCCTCTAGAGAAGTTCTTTAGTTCTTCAGCGCGTAACTGCTGAAGCTGAGAAAAGAGCTGTAAGGTAGCATTATGTTGAAGTGTGCTGATCAGCACGTCCACACAGGAAAAACCTGAAGGAGCAACATTTCTTTACTGGCCCAGTGTGATACAACAAACTGAGCAACTGTTTCAAAGGTGATCAATAAGTCTTGAATGTGCAGGAGCAATGCAAAGGCATTAATGACGCTATTTGAACTGCTGGGGAGGCTGCATCAGACCTCAGCTAGTTTGATAATTTGGAAACACAGAGCACAGTGTGGTATTGTGGCACACTACAGCAATTAGCAACTGAGGTGGGGATGCATAGCCCCTCTGCTGATGCAGACATGTATCACTGCTGTCTTCCGTGGAGTTGTTCTTGTGACAGCCCGACTCTCACTCTGGTTCACTCCTAGGACTAGCAAGATTCTTCTCTGGCTCCAAACATGCTGTGCCATGCCACGCAGTTCCTGAGCGCATATAAAAAAATGCATTTTTTCCCAGTGTAGGCTAAAGCAAGGTGCTTGGTGTGCTCATGTCTGTTCCCATGTCCCACTTCCAGGTGGTGTACTTCACAGCCACGTTCCCGTACCTCATGCTGGTAGTCCTGCTGATCCGGGGTGTCTCCCTACCTGGGGCATCTCAGGGAATCCTATTCTACCTTTACCCAGACCTCAGTCGACTCGGGGATCCTCAGGTAAGGCCAGTGAAAAAACGAATGACTGAGAATGCTTGCCTGGATGCCTGTGGCTATTCTCTTTCCTTCTTTTTTCTTTCCATACTACCTTTCTTCCAATTCCTTCCACCTGTCTCCTCTTTACCTACATTGGGTATAAGGCAGGACTACGATATGGATGGCCCTCGGCCTTCCCCTGTGCCCTTCCTTTATTTTCTCATCTGAGGTGGATCTGAACTGCCTGGGAGCAAGAATACAGGTGGCAGAAGCCATCAGTGGGTTTAACCCCCTCAGAAAGAGCAATGTCAACTGAACCTGTCATTTCTTGGGGATATCACTGTGCTCAGGGGCTCTGTAATGTCTCGGGTTGCAGGGGGAGGAGAAGGAGGAGGAAGGAGAGAATGAGGATGACTTGATGCACCCTAGGACCTGACCGTCCTTCTTTCCCCCCAGTTCTCATTGAGAAATTCCTGCCTGCCTGCCCGGACGGTCTGTGCCTGACTGCTGCTGTTAATCTCTTTGGGACAAGTTCTTCCACATTAAATCCTGGCTCCAGCTGAGCTGCTGTACCAGCCTTTGTGTGAAGGTGTTTCCAAAAGAGATTAAAGGGTGCCTGCTTGGAAAATAGGCCAGCAAAACCCTTTATAACCCCATTAACTCTTTCTGCTCTAGCCCTAGTGTTGACTCTGCTGTTAATTTTGCAAGTGTAGGCATCTCTGCCTAATGCAAGGAGCAAGGGTCAGTGGAGTGTGGTGACGATGTGCTAGGACTGCTGGGGACTCTGAATTTGCCAGTGCCACCAGCGTGGTGTGGCTCTGGTTGAGCAGGTTTAACTTAGGGCTTCCAGTCTGCAACTGAAGGGGATCTGGTTTTTGTCATGTGATCCTGTCCAGCATTCTGGAAGTTGCTCTCATTTGTGTGCTCAAGCAGTGGCTGAAAGGCTTCGTTTTGCACTGCCAGCTTCTCTCATGCTCTCTCAGCTGCAGGGGGGATATGGGTAGGACAGCCCTGCCTCCCTGTGAGGTGCAGAGAGCTTGGAGGGGGTTTTCTAAAACTCTCAAGAGAGTGAGGACAAGTCCGTGGTCATACTGTGTGCAGCTCTGTGTGTGCTGATGCGATGAGAGATCCTTCTGCCACTTTCCAAATGTGCTCCCTTGCTTCTGCAAAGCCTTGTGCTCATAGGGGTCTCACCAAACTGGGTAGCATGTCTTGCATTTTCTTCATTTTTCTCCTATTGGATAGGAAAGGTAAGGGTTAGTGCTCCAAGGCCTGCATGTGCACAGTGTGCCCCTGCTTCCATACAGGGACAGCAAATGTCCTGCCAGCCAAGCTGATGACTGTCGACTTGTGCTCACAGAACAAGGCTGTGATTGCTTACCCGCAGTCCAGCGCTGCCTGGAAAAATGCAAAGTTCTGCAGTGCCTAGGAAGGGATGCTGGAAATTTGAAAAAAAATATAATAACCTCTTCGATCTGAGCCTTGTAATAAGGAGTCTCAAGGGGAGGTTTAGATAAAAGGAAAAAAATATACAAGGGGACAAAAGGATAACTGCTTAAAAGTATATGAAAACATATGTGAAAAGAAGGGATGAATTATTTAGCAGATTCTACCAGGGGAGAAGCAGCCAAGATGTGATTAAGTGTCTGTGTGGAAATCACTGCTTTTCACCTGCTCGACGACCTTGGACAGAACCATGAAATCCTGTGCACGAGAGCTGACTGATGATTAATCATAGAGTATCCTGAGTTGGAAGAGACCCACAAGGATCATTCAGTCCAAGTCCTGGCATGATGGTCTCTTCCAGCCATAAAGTCTTCAATTCCCTAAATCTTCCTGCACCTTCCTCTTCCCATTCTATAAAATGCTTACAATTAAAAGGTTAAATGCAAAATATTTGGTATAAAAATAGATCAGACTTACAGTGAAACTGCTGGGCAAGTTTTGCATAATAAAATACAGTTCTGCTCAAGTAGAAGCAGGTAACAGCAAAATCATCTGAGAGAATTCATTTTGAACTGTAGGCCACAAACCTAAAAATTCCCCCCAAACCAACCCCATTGTTTCTTTCTTGTTTAATATTGTGTATTTTTAAAATAGCATACTAGCCAATTGCTGAGCTCGTTTTTTTTTTGTCCCCCCCCCTTGACTGCATTTTTTGAACTCCAGAAGATTCCTATACTTTCCGCAGTACTGACTGTGTTTTAACAGATAGGGGAACTCAGGATTGCTCACCACTTCCTCTCTTGCTCACTCCACCCTTCCCAATGTTTTCTGTGGTAATTTGATGACTTGTTTACTTCAGTAGATAACTCTGGGATTTCCTGATGTGATTATGGAGAGAGATGCAGAGTGGTCCACTTGCAGGAAGCCGAAATGAAATAATTCACGCTAAAAATAAGGGTTAAGTGTGGGCAGTTTGTTGTTGGAGCAACTTTTTTCTGGCACTGGCAGGTTCTCTATCACTCAGTGCAAACCATGACCAGACACCATTGTAATGGACAGAGTTGAGGAGATAGCTGATGGGCTTGATGTAGAAAGTGCTAGTGATGTATTTGCATTTGGTCTTGTTTGAAAGAGAAAAAATGCAGTAGTTTCTTTTCACTCTGGTATCAGTCTCAAATATTTCTAGCTAAATATTATTAGATTTATTGACTGAGCAAAAGAGAGTAAAATTTAGAAGCCTTGGAGAATGTCCCTTTCTGCACAAGCAGAAAGTGCTTCTGAGAACATGCCCAAGACCTCTCGCTTTTGTTTTCCCCCAAATTTCCCCCAAACACACTGTCTTCTTGTGTCTGCTTGTGCTTTACCCCTTGAGTCTCAGAAAGTCTTTGTACAAAGAAGAGCTTGCCATAAGGAGCTGCTTCCCCTGTGGCCTCTGAGAACTTCTTGGCCTTGGGCCCCTGCGGTCATGTTGGGGAAGGCATCAGAGCCTCCAAATTTGGGTCCCTCCTGCTGCTTGCTCTGCCGCCAATGAGGGCTGCTGCTTCCCAGCAGGAGTTGAAGGCAACCATGGGCATGCTAAATATTATTTGTTCCCTTTATTTGTTTTTTTTTCCCCCAGCAAGCCTTTAGCTTGACCCTATGTGCTTGTGTCATGCTGTTGCTGGCCCCGTTTCCCCTTTCTGAAGGCAGCATGTTTGTTTTTAGGCAGAATCATACAGCCTGGAGTCCAGGAGCATCCCTCATCCCTCCCCATCACCTTGGGGAGGAGGGCAGAACAGCTGTGTTTTTGGGATGAGCCAGAGCATGTTTTGTTTATTGTTTTTTTTTTTACTTACAGTGTTTACAGAAAGTGCAGAGGTGGGGGGCTCTCCTGGATGCAAAACCATAAAATCATAGCATCATTAAGGTCAGAAAAGACCACTAAGATTATCTAGACCAACTCCAACCCATCACCACCAACTAAACCACATCCTTTAGTGCCATTATCTACATATCTCTTGAACACCTTCAGAGATGGGAGAAGTAAAGGAGGTGGCCAAGTAACTCGGCACAGCCCTTTAAAAAGGTACTCATTGAACAGCAGCTGAAGGCTTGCCTAGATTTTGTTCTTTGCTTTGCACTACCCCAAGCGTGATGCTCTATGCAGCAGGGACTTACTCTCTGCTACGTCTTCCGCTGGCTGCTGGGGGCATCTTGGCGCTTTCCAGCATGGCCCCTGTGTGATGTATGATGCATGCACTAGGCTTCCTAGAATAGAATCGTCTGAGTTGGAAGGGATCATTAAATGTCACCTAGTTCAACTTTCTTGCAGTGAACAGGGACATCCACACGTTGATCAGGTTGCTCAGAGCCCCATCCAGCCTGGCCTTGAGTGTCTCCAGGGACACGGCATCCACTGCCTCTCTGGGCAACTGGTGCCAGTGCATCACCACCCTGATCGTAAAAAACATCTTCCTTATCTCCTATCTAATCTCCCATCTTTTGGTTTGAAACTATTTCCCCTTGTTCTAAAATAGCAGACCCTGTGAAAGAGTCTGTCTCCTTCTTTCTTACAGACCATCTTTAGATACTGAAAGGCCACTCTCATGTCCCCCAGAGCCTTCCCTTCTCCAGGCTGAACAGTCCCAGCTCTCTCAGCCTTTCCTCATAGCGGGCTGGATGCACTCCAACTGGTCTACATCTCTCCTGTCCTGAGGACTAGGACACAGTGCTCCAGGTGAGATCTCACCAGTGCAGAACAGAGGGGCAGAATCACATCCCTGACCTGCTGGCCGTGTTTCTTTTCATGCAGTCCAGGATACAGTTGGCACTCTGGGCTGTGAGGGCACATTGCTGACTCATGCCCAGTTCACCATCCACCAGTACCTCCAGGTCCTTTTCAGCAGGGCTTTATTCCACCCTGACATCCCCCATCCTGTACTGACAGTGGGGTTTGCCATGACTCACTCATGGCAGACCTTGCAGTTGGATTTATTGAACCTTATGAGGTTCACCTGAGCCCACTGCTCAAGCCTGTCTGGGTGTCTCAGAATGGCAGCCCATTCCTTGAGCATGTTGACTGCACCACACAGCTTGGTCTCATCCGTGAATTTGCTGAGCGTTCATTCTGTCCCACTGTCAATGTTCAACAGCATTTTGCTCTAAAATACTCTTTACTATTATTTATAAGTGCTCTGAGGTCTTCCTAAGGAAGGATCTGTTTTAGTTCAGGGGGCTATTAAATTCTAGTACATGTAATAAAGCAAATATTGCTAAGAAAATTAAGGGAGGAAGGAAAATGTTCTCTGATAGGCCATAACCATCTCAAATAACTGCAACTCAGGTGTGAATGCTTTGGTTAAAAACATAGAGTAGGAGGTTATTACAAACTGGAGTAAACAACATGTTCAAGGAAATTGAATTATGAATTAAATAAACTTGGATGGCTTGAAAAACTGCAGACAGCAATCACAGCAAAATACCCAGTCTGCCAATGAGCCAGCAAAATCTGAACAACAGGATAAACTTCAGCAGTGGAGCTGCAGCCAGAGAAGAGCAGCATGCTTTTCTGCAGGGAAAAGAGAGCCCTCCGTGACCCCATCAAGCCCCTTTAGTTGGAGTGGAAATATTAAAATAATGAGAGGCTGTTATTCAGCAGTGTGGAGGGGGATATTGAAAGGGCTGGAAGGAACATTTCTCTGACTCACAAGAGGGAGAGGAGTGAGCACAAGAGGCAGCTCGGGGAGAGCAGATGCGGGCTACTATTTCCAGGAGTAGGTTCTCTTTGTAGGTCCCATGAAACTGTGGGGCTGAGATGGGGTGAGCTGAATACCCTTCCCACCCCAGGTCTTGAGTCATGCTGCTGTTGCTCATCTCCATAGCACCCATGGCATCAATCTTTTTGGAGTCCATCAGCACTCAAAGAATGTAGGAGATGCTAGGGGTCTGGGAAGGAAGTAGAAGTGGGTGGCTTCAATAGCCTTTTAAAATGAGAAATAGAAGTGTGTACAGTCTGAGCTGGTGCTCACAGTCATCCTGTGATGACTGAGTAGGATCAGAATCTCTGTGTATCATACTTAGCTTTGTTTGCACTGGTTCAGCCACAGGCTACCTTGCTTTAAATGGGAACACATGCTGAGGCAGGACCTGTATTCCCTACAGACATCCTTCTGGATATGCACCCCAGGCAGTGCAGCAGGAACCTGTAGACCCCATTCTAATCTCTGCTGCACATCAAGGGTATTGCTGGCTGTAGGAACAAAGCCACTTCATGAGTCACAGAGCTAATGAAGCTTGGTGTCTTGATATTTGACTTCTACCATCATCTGGTAAAGCACCAGTTCTTTTCCTGCCCTTGGGATGTTTCTCATGTCTCCTGCTTGTGTGATTTATCTGATATTTAACACTGGTTGACTGCTCCTCCCTGTAGCTTTCCTCTCAGTGGGGATGCTGAGTCTTTCATGTTCCCTGGTTGTTGTGAAATTCTTAAGTAGTTGGTATCTTTGAGATTTCTGACCATTGTTAAATCAGTTTGAACTGTGGAAATGGACCCAATGTTATGGCAAGGGTTGGGAATGCTGTTTGATGGCAAAAGTCTTTTTACCTGAACAAACTGATCTGAAAGCGCTTCAAAAACCTCAAGAGAGTGAAATTCAAGCTGGAATTTTATTGGAAAAAAGACAAAACACAGCACAAGCAATGAACAGCAGAACAACAAATCAAGCCTAACAGATCTTTCCATCCTGACCTGTGAGAAGATACTTAAATTATTGATGCATGGATGTCAGCTGGATCAGCCTGTCTCAGTGCCTTGCTGTGCCCAAAAAGCAATGGAGAAGTAAGCTCATGCCCTGACTCCTTACAGACACAATGATTAGTAATTTATTGTGAAGAATATATTGTGAAAAATCTTTAGGAATTAATTGTGAAGAAAATAAATAGATAAATAAAAGACTGTTTTTTCCAATTTTTTTTCAAATGCAATGGTGAGCTAGTATTTTGGTTTCCAAACCTGCCTCCCTACTCCACTCCTCCAAAAAAAAAAGTACAAAAGACTAAAGCCAACTACTTTTTCAATGTCCTTGTGCCCAGAACTAGCTGTTCCAGTCCAACCTCATCATCTGTCTCTTCCCATTCTGCAAATCAAAGATTTGATCTGACTCCCCGTGGAAGGGTTTCTTCTTGTCAGTTTTGACTGATGAGAAGATAGGGCTGAATGTTGACCGAGCTATTTGCAGGATGGCTGGGGAAAGCAGTGACACCAGTGAGTGCTAGCTGGTTGCCCCTGAAGATGTGTGGCTTTGGTTGAGCATGTACAGGTATAATTTGGAATCACCAAAACCACTGTGTTCCTCTCTGGTGCTTCTGTTCCTGGTGTATATCCCCAGGCAGGGCCCTGAGCAAGGTGAGTATTTATCTGAGGACTCACCAGCACTGCTGCTTCAAGGTATAGCCACTTGGAGACTCTTCTCATTAAACTTACCCAATAATCACTTTTTTCCACTTTTCTTTCTTCACTGCTTTCCCTTTTGTCTCTAGAAGCACCACTGATTGAATGCTTGCTTTATCTCTATTTTATAAACCCTTTAGGAAGAAAGATGTTAGATAGCAATCTTTGTCATTGCTTCATTTTTCACTGCTGGTCCCTGCTTTTGCTGTTCTCTGCAGAAGACGGTGGCTATGATTGCATCAGTGACTGCACACAGATAGTCTTTCAAATCTAATTTGTCATTGACAAATGTCAGGCTCTGAGCACTGGGATGTGTTCTTGACAGAGAGATCAAAGTAGAGTTCAGGCTTCATGGGACTAACATCATTCTAGTGTTTTCTTTTAAGAGATGTCCTGTGAGAGCAACTCTGCTTATTTCTAGTATTCCTCCCAGTTGATTTGCTTTTACATTTTGGAACCTTTGAAGTTAGGTCTTGGAGAAAAGGCCACCAGCCATAGATACCTGTGCCACTCACTGGGACACCAGGTTTGCCCTAATCATACCCCCCTCCTCTGCTGGTGGAGGGCTCCTTCAGCTCTCCTGAATAATGCTCACTCAGTCTCTTGCTACCAAGAGACTTTCGAGAGTTACAGTTTTCTGCAGACTTGCCTGAGGAAGATGGAGATGATGATGAAGGTTCCTACATGCTGTGGGTTTACAAATCTCACAGCACCTCCTTTCCCTTTGGCTCTTGCTACCCCCAGGGTGCTTTAGAGAGCACTGCAATTCCTTGTACTGCATAACCTGTTCCTACCAAAGGCTTGTCTAAATGCAAGGTATTGCTGACTACCTGAGCACTGATTTTTTCTGCTGATTATGTTGACCCCTGGGTTCTGCCTCTTCCCATTGGTGCACCATTTGTGCTCTGTGCTGGCCTTGTCTTCTTACCTCTGTTTGCATCTCCCTTGCAGGTCTGGATGGATGCAGGCACTCAAATCTTCTTTTCGTATGCAATTTGTCTGGGATGCCTGACAGCTCTGGGCAGCTATAACAAATACCATAACAACTGCTACAGGTAACTAGAGCACGGCTCTGCTGCCTTGAGCCTTCCCTTCCCTCAACATCAGTGAAAATAGGCTGGTGAACCGCTGGGGGCCTTTTGAAGAGTCATGCTTTCCATTTCTACTCAAAATGTAAGAAAACACTTTGCAGGTGTTTTCTTCTCAAATCCATCTGTCTGTGCTTTGTACCCAAGGGAAATGTCAGGAACTTTCTGTCCACGTCACGGATGACAAATTCCCTTTTCCAGACCATATGAGACCCATCAAAGCTAGATCCTCTTCACTAGCTTTTTGATCCCAGTCCACACCACAACCTTTCCTGCTTACATAGGTGGGAGAAGCAGAGCTGTGAGATCAAGAGTGGCTCTAGATTGGAATCTTTTCACCTTGTGATTTATTCTCCTTAAGTTCTTTTAGGCCTAGTGTCTTGCACACTTTTCAGTGCTCTGGGTGTACGTGCTATGTACAGTCTATATATAAACCTACAGGTGTTACTCCTGTCTCTTGCATTCTCTCCCCATGCTGGACTGCCCTCGGGCAGAGATCAGCCCAGCTGCCAAATTGCATTGGGCTGTCAAGTTGAAGTGGTCAGGTGAAAACACATTCATTTTGCTGCAGATGTATGCAGCATCTGAGGTTGTATATCCAGAAGCAAAAGGTTAGTATGAGGTGAAGAGACCAGAAAAGCTACCTGCTTCCTTTCTCACCTTTCTCTGCTGACTGTGTTGCTCCCCACACCTTTTAAATTCAAATTTGTTGTCATTACTGTGGAAGGTCCAAGCAGGCCACCGCGTGGACCTAGCTTGGCATCTTTCTCTTCACCTTAAAACTTCACACCTGCTGTAGGGATGCCTCTCCAGCAGCTGGGCTGGGACTTCTTTTTCTTTTCACATTGCCCTTCTGTCAGATGCAGTTCTAAGAGAAAAGGGAAGTGGGAAGAGAAGACAAAATGGATTGGCTCTGGCCTGTTGCACATCCTTGGGCATTGTCCCTGTGCATCTCCAATCTGGAAGTGTGACATGGAGGTGATGACAGGGACTGCTGAGCAGCAAGGTTGTGAAAAGCTTCTGTGGCTTCAGCTGGGAGAGGCAGAAGAAAATGAGACAGGTCCATTCATGCACAAGCCCTTCATGCCTTTGGCTTTGCTAGGAAAACTGTGCTGAGTTCTGGAGTCAAGACTTTGACCAGCCTGTTTTCAGACATGGACCCAATTTTAACAAGTTGATACTATACTCTGCAGCTTTGGTTTGTGCAGAAAGACAGGGCCAGGCTTTAATGACACAGAGGGACACAAGCTTGATATCCCGCACAATCTCTCAGGTCAGATGTAACCTTTGGAGACCTGGGGAAAGGAAAGAATGGGGGGAGGATGGACCACTGTTCATATGACAACAGTCCAAGATGGCACCAAACCGTATGGGATATTTCTCACTCTTTGGGATTGCAAGAGATATCATGGAGGCTCCCTGGCTTCATTCTAAGTGAAAATCTGGGGACTCCTTTTTCTCTGGCCATTTCTTGCATATTATCCCCACCATGACACCCCTTCCCACCTGCCAGGTGACTGGAGAGCATCTCCCAGCCCATGCCTTTCCAAGGAGGTTCTAACCTCATACATACATCTGGGGGAAGGAGGGAAGAAACACTGGGAAGGAAGAGGAGCTATTGGAAGTAAATGTGAGTTTCTATAAAAAAAACTGAGAACATAAGTGGAAATTAATTGGCTTATAGCAGGTGGAGAAAGGATGTTCTGGCACGAGCATCCCATGGGGCTAGTTGAGCTTGGCAGAGCATGAACCTTCTGGGTGATTCTTTGGGATGCACCCTGAAGGTTTCATAAAGTCTCTCCTGCCTTAATAAGGAAATGAAGAGGCAAAGCAAAGATGTTAGGTTTTGGGTAGTTCTTCATCACACGAAGTGCTGTGATATGGGGAGGGATAATCTAAGCCATTTGTAGGGCATTGGGGCTCTACGTGAGCTAAGGTTTTTCTCTAGAAGTGGTTGCAAACTGTGAATAGATTCAGTTAATGTGCAGGGAGAAGCGGAATGCTAGAGACCTAAAGACTGGTAGAGAAAATCACACTGGATTTGCAGAGTAGCATTTAATAAAGTCAGAGTAGGCCATGAAATGCCGGAAGGGTGTGTTCAGTTTTGTTCAGAGTATTTTGGAAAGATTCTGGAAAAGGTTAGAGTTGTCCCCAGGGCTGCAGTCACAGGAGGCCTGGGGAGACTGAAGAATAAAAAAGAAGTGGATAGATAAGAAATGTTTAGTTTAACAAGTAGACGGATGAGAATGAGATGAAACAGAGACAAAAGGGAATAGATCAGAGAAAATAAATTGGATGGCTCTGTTCATCTTTTTCTCCTAATGTGAGGGCCAGGAGATACCTTGCAGTTCTGAGAGCTGAGAACATTCTAACTGGTCTGAGAAATCTATTAAGGAAAAATAACTGCCCCTCTCTCAAGCAGAAATAGTCTCTGCTATTCTTCCAAAATTGAGGAACAAAGAGAGAGGAAAAACATAAGATGTTTAGATATGTAGCAAGTCTATCTCAAGGGTGAGGAGAGCAGGGGCTGCCATGGGGTATGGGTCACAAGTGAACCGTCCAGCTGATGCTGTGCTTCCTCCTCCCAGGGACTGTGTGGCCCTCTGCTTCCTCAACAGCGGCACCAGCTTTGTGGCTGGCTTTGCCATCTTCTCCATCCTGGGCTTCATGGCTGGGGAGCAGGGAGTGCCCATCGCTGAGGTGGCCGAGTCGGGTGAGTGAGGGCTGTGGTGGGATGATAGTGTCATGGGAGGTATCTGTTTTTCCACTGGGCCAGGAGGCACACCCATGGGGTATCTGCCCCAGAGAAAACAGTGTTGCAGAAGCAAGCTCCTGTCCTGGTGGGAAGCTATGCTCTTTGCCTCCAAAACCCAGGGAGAAACAAATGCCCACTCATGAAATGTCATGATGCTATGGCCATGTCTTGAGGTCAATGTAAACTGCCTATTGGGGCTATGTTAGGCAGGTAATATCTCTCCAGAAGGGATGCAGTACCTGCATGGCATATACTTAGGCTTATACTTGGGCTCAAAGGTTCATCTGGCCCCCAGTCCTCGTAGCAGTGATGCAGCCATAGCTTGCTGTGCCCCATTTTCCTCCCTCCTTGCTGGAGCTCCTCCGCTCTGCCTTAGTTTCCCACATGGTGCTTGGCCAGGTGGCCGCTTCATGTGTGTCCACAGGGATGTGCCGTGCTGTGCCATGCTGCTGCCTGCTCTGAAGCCCTTCTCCCCGCAGGACCTGGCCTGGCATTCATCGCCTACCCTCGGGCTGTGGTCATGCTGCCCTTCTCCCCACTCTGGGCGTGCTTCTTCTTCTTGATGGTTGTTTTACTGGGACTGGACAGCCAGGTAAAGGTGCTGGATGCTTTTCTGCTGGACTACAGTCACTACCCCTTCAAGACAGGCTTGAACTTGACAGATAGAAGTGTGGGGCTGCTGGCGAACTTCTCTGGTGGGGCTGACAGAGGTGGGATCTCTGCTCTTTGCAGTTTGTCTGTGTGGAGAGCCTCGTCACAGCTCTTGTGGACATGTACCCTACCATCTTCCGCAAGAAGAACCGCCGGGAGACCCTCATCCTGCTGGTTTCCATCCTCTCCTATCTGGTGGGGCTGGTGATGCTCACTGAGGTATTTTGGGCTCAGATCACCTGCATGGTGTTCGCTGGGTCTAAGTGTCTTCTGGCAGGGACCTGTCAGGTGGTGGGATTTATAGTGGAGATGGGTGAGCTTCACCCTGCTGCTAAGTGCCTGAAGGAGGCAGCCCTGACTTGCTCTGCCCTGCCCTGTCCTTCCCTGCAGTGTTTGCACTTTCCCTTCCAGTCCTGATCACTTGTACCAGTTACAGTTCTGACAGCTTTCTGCCAGGACTGATAATTGGAGCTATGAACAGCCAATATTTTGGTTATAAATTTGTCTCTGTGTGAGTTAAACATTTACTGCTGTAGCTGGTTGCATGGTTTGGAGTGAGCCTTTATTCTTTTCTTTGCTCCTTTGTGGAGCTACAAAAATGGTTGAAAACTTGGGTGGAAAATGGATGGAAAACTTAGTGAGCCAGAGTGTGCCCCATATCTATTACACTGATTTTCTATATATTTCCCTTGTGTATGGGAATTAAAACTTAGTGAAGTCTGTGTGTTGTGGTGTTGATGCTGCCAAATCTGCCTTCAAAGGGGATTTCCACCCTTGTTTTCAGCTAAAAGAGTTGCTTTGTTTTTGTCTTCTAAAATATCCCCACCATCTCTGATGGTCACTTCCCTTCTCCTGCCTTGCCCAGGACTGAAGGGTTGCTGCAGCTCCTGAGTGCAAGAAGTCTCCTAGATCTGCCACACAGCTTCATCAGGCCTTGAGCACAAGGGAAATGGCTGTTGTTGTTGGCTAAAAGTGTGCCTGAGGGAGAGGGTGGTCTCCTAGTCATGGGGAAGATGCTGAATTTGTGCTCTTCTCTGGCTGGAGCTCTTGACTTGTGCCTGATTCCTTTCTTCTCTCTCCTTCCCCACTTCTCCTCACTGCCCACTTGACCGTCCCCAGGGTGGGATGTATGTCTTCCAGCTCTTTGATTACTATGCTGCCAGTGGCATGTGCCTGCTCTTTGTGGCCATCTTCGAGACACTCTGCGTTGCCTGGGTCTATGGTGAGTATGAACCAGGAGGGCTCAATTCTGCACCCTCAAGCTTTCATTTTCCCCACCCTCAATGCACCTGTCAATATTTCTTCTTGAGAATCACTTCATAGTGCAAGACAGCATTCCAAACCCTTGCTTTGTTGCTTGTGGATTCAACTGATGGGACCTTCCTCACAGCAGTGCCCTAGGGGATCTGCTTGGCAGACATCCTCAGCAGGTTCCTAAGTGCCCCTGAATTTGAGGCCCTCCTTCCTGGGGATATGAAGCTGCCTGGGGGAACAGTTTCCCAGTCTGTGCACAGAGGAATCTGAGATCCTCACAATGCTTTTGTGAGCCCCCTTTCAGCCCTGACATTCACCAGAGATGGATAAAATATGGTTCAGGTCACAGCCTCAAGTTCATGTACTAGCACAGGGCACAGGATATACCAGCTGAGGGGCTGTGGTGACCCACTGAGCTGTTCTGGGGTGAGCAGACATTAATCCAGGACTGAAGTTCCTAGCAGGATTCTTGGCAATGCAGAGGTTACTGCCTCATTTTCTGGGGAGCTCCCAGACGGTGGGGAAGCAGGGCCCTCACTTGCCAACCTCCTTGTTCCCTCAGCAATGAGGTATCATTCCCCCCTCCTGCAGGTGCTGAGCGTTTCTATGACAACATTGAAGATATGATCGGCTACCGGCCATGGTCCATCATCAAATACTGCTGGCTTTTCATCACTCCAGCAGTTTGCTTGGTGAGAGATGGGCAGAGCTGTGTGCCTCTGAGATATATGCACACATATATATGGAGGGATCTGCACATGTGTTGAGGCTATGTAGCCTCTCTTTTACCACATAACTCTGTGCAGGTGTGGAGTAACCAGAAAGACCTACTTTGACTAACAATGTTGATTTTCTTGCACTTTTTCTGTTGGCTTCTTCCACCCTGCCAGGCAACCTTCTTGTTTTCTCTGATCAAATACACCCCACTGACCTACAACAAGAAATATGTGTATCCGTGGTGGGGGGATACGCTGGGCTGGCTACTGGCTCTCTCCTCCATGGTGTGCATCCCTCTCTGGATCGTCTACAAGCTCTCCACCATCAAAGGTTCCCTCAGAGAGGTGAGGCTGAAGCTCTGGGATCAGGGCAAGGGCTGCACTGCTGTCCAGCCTTTCAAGAGAGTTGTTTGTGTGTTGCAGGTTGATTAGCAGGAAGCCTAGAATGAATCAATTGCATGAGTTCATTGCTATAACTGAACTGTTGGTTTTTTTGAGTTCTGCCTGGCTAGAGGGCTGCCCCAAGCTGATTGTTTCCTCTTGGTGCCTTTGTTTATTGCTTCTGCCTCTTTGCGAGTGCCATTAGGAATAAACTCATTAGATGATGAGGAAAAAGATGATATCCCGTACTTCAGCTCAGCATGGAGGCTGCCCTTGACAGCAGCTTGGGGTCTTGCTCCAAGAAAACTCCAGATACCACCTGTTCTCTAGCTTCTGCGAATGCTCAGGGAGGGATGGTCTGAATGACTGAATGATACCCATGACTGGAAGGGGAGGGCCCAGGTTACCTTCCATCCTTGAGACCACGTTCAGTGCCTACTTTTGTCTTCCAGAGGTTCCGCCAACTCACCTGTCCACTAGAGGACTTGCCTTCCAGGCCAGGCACAGGACAGCCTCTTCCTTCCACCAGATCTAGCCTCCTGATGCTGACAGAGCTGGAATCTCACTGCTAGGACCAGTGTGGCTCTCCCTCCCTCCCCCAGGATGGTTTCTATGCAGCTTTTACCACCTGTTGGACAACACAAGGATTCACTCACCTAGGAGAGAGGGATTTCTGGGTTGAGATCCCTTCCCTGGAAGATCTGAAGGGCTGAGGGAGAAGCTGCTGTGGAGATGGTCTGCGTGGAGTTAGCAATGCACCTTAATCCTCTCCCTCAGAGGGCTCTGAAGGGGCAGATCAAACACCGGTGTTTCAGAGCACCCCCAGCCTTCTGGTGGGCAGAGAAGAAGGACTGATTATGGAGTGGAGAGTGCCAGAGTCTCAAAGTTGTGGCTCTGGTGTGGACTTCGGGAGCTCTCCATTCATTCTATTAAATTCTTGTCTTTCTCCTCTAGTTACAAACTCTCATTTTTTTGTAACCAGCATCCTTTGCTTACATTGTGTTTGATGGGGTCTGTATCAGTGGAGCTGTGCTGGTATCTGGGTCTGCATCTTTGTTGCACTGGAACATTTGTACAGGATGGTAGCAAGAAAAAAAGCTTGGTTTAAGTGGGAGGGAAAGTGGGGAATACTGACTGGGAGACCTCTGTGTGCAGTAGGCTTGGGGTTCTTGGTGCAATGCCACCTTCTGCTAGAAGCCATCACCTGCTCCCAGCCAAAAGAGTCATCTGGCTGATGAATCACTGGGCTATTCCCAGGGCCTGGGAGAAGTGTGTGGGTTGGTGTTTCTTCATGCAAGTGAAGGATCATGGGAAATTGTCCCTCATCTCTGCAGGTCTAAGTCATTTTTGTTCTGACTGGATTCCAGGTTCTCTAGAACCTGCTATTTTTGTTTCCCTGCATATGGAGGAAAGGCTGCATGGCTGAGGTGGGATCTGTATGTTATGTCAACTCAGCCACAAATAGAGCCTCTCAGTTGCAGGCTGTTTGGGTGAAAAAAAAAATAATAACAATAACGATCAAAGAACAGTTGTTTTAAGTGTTGTAGTCTCAGCATCTGAAGAGGGCAGCCAGAGGACATGTAGCCCTGGGAATCTGGATAGCTCTCAGGTAACCCTGAGAAAGCCAGAGCATAGGAAAGGCTGAGTGAGTGAATGAAGCTTGGCTTTCCCAAGGACTGGTGGGCATGGTGCTATATGGCCTGGTATGGTGCTGCTGAAGCATCCAGCACGGAGAGAGCAGGAATTCAAACAATCCACGCAATGAACCACCAGGTGGCCCCAGGACCTCACCTACTGCCGGCAGCAGAAAGGCGAGGTGCAAGGGTACCTCCTCGGGCAGGCTGGCGGCACCGGGTGCTCCTGTGGGGTGAGGGGACAGGTCCCCGGCACCACTCCATGGGGCAAGGGGATGTGAAGGAGGAGGGCTTCCTGCTGTCTGCTTCTTTTTGGGGCTGTGGGGCACTTGGATAGGTGTGAGCAGTACGTGGTAGGGGTTTCTGCAGGAAAAGGTTAGAGAAGGAGGCTGAGAGAAGACCCTTTCCTCTGGTACAGTGCCAGCTCTTGTTTTCCACACAAAAGCAGCATATAGTTGTCTGTGGGAAGCAATGCTGATTAGTGAACAGTCTGGCTGTGCTCCAGGGGATTTCTTCCTTCCCCTTCTGAAAAGATGATGGTAGACCTCAGCTGACCGTAGCTCAGACGAGTCTTTGAAGTGGATCAGCAGACCCTCCGAGTTGTGATGCTCTTTGACCCCAATTGTATGGTGGGTGATGGGCAGTCCACCAGCTGTAGGGCCAGAGAGGGACTTTCCCTGGCTTGGGATGATGGGGGTACTTTGGCCCCTGCTGCCTGTTGGTGTTTTCCAAGCTGCAGCCAGCTCTCTCCCACAGGGATCGTATTCATTCCCAGCTGTGGCATGTGCTGTTTTAGCCTCCTGAGGGCGTACATGTTGATGCTCACCTGTGAGCTGAAGGTAGGAAAGAGCTCAGAATCCTAGGAAAATCCCCTTTGGGAAGAGACCTCCAGTGTGAGGGTGGATGGAGCCATTCTACTTTCATGCAGTGCTGGCTGGTAGAAATTATTTCCAGAAATGAACAAATAGAGTTTAACACAGAGGATAATTTTCAGTTGGCTTTTTATATGAGTCATACTAGAAGCTCCATGTCTTACTAACTTCAAACAAAATAATGTTTTCATTTTCCAGTAATACCTATAAGAGATTTGGTCCACTGGTGAGGTACATTAAAACTAATAGAAAATTGTCCATGGCTACCTCCAGAAAATGGCTGAGGTAGAAAGTCTGCTCAGCTGCAGTTAGGCAAAATGGGAGCCTGCCGAAAGGCTTGTGACTTGCTTTGTTTCCAAATAGCTTGGTGTCCATTGAATTGGGCATGTGGTTTATTGATCTGGTTATGTATGAGCCAGGAAACCTCCCAAGCCTGTGTTCCTAAATGACCTAATTGCTGTAAAGCTTTGGATGAGCTTTGCAAGTCACATAAGCAAAAAAACCAAACCAAACCAAACCAAACAAAACAAAACAACAAACAAAAAAACCCACCAAGATTTGTTGGATATTCTTACTTACAATAGGACTTTGGGATGAAGAACTGAAAGCTGTGATGCCTGGCTTGAGACATAAATTGAGTAGATTCTCATTATTCATTGAGCAGATTGATAGACTGAGTCTGAAATGAGTACACTTGAAACTTCCAGATACGACATTTCTCACAGCATTTTTAAAGACTCCATGGTTAAGTCACAGCAGCACCTACCACTTATTTTACAGCACCCCAAATGTAGGTGAAATTTGGAATGCGGTGATCTTTTTTGACTTGAAATATGGCGAATTGAGTTGTTTTGCATTCAGGATCAGCCCAACATTCCTCTTCTCACAGCCTGTGGCACATACCCCAACTCAGATCCTTCCCACATGAGGAAGACGCGATGTCCCATCAGACAAGAGACAGACAATTCTTTGAAATTTCCCCTCACATTCAGAATCCAAAATCTGTGAAGTCTAAGAAGTCAATTCTTAAGTTTCAGGAATATAGGGATGGGATTGAAGACCTGTTTTTTTTTTTCATGTATATTCTTTTACTTTTTTTTTTTTTTCTTCCAATTTTACAAAGAAATAAGGGAGTCCCAGAGATTTTACCTGGGCTCATTGGTACATCAAGTTGTTTTGGGCACCAACATGTGCTACTCTGTCCCAACAGCCACACAGTGTCCTTTGTATCTTTGTGACCTACGCACTGCAGATGTTTGCTGTCACCTCATGCACCACATGGCAATAGGATTTGCTGCCCTGTGCCCTCTGCCTGATGTTTTTCCATAGTCCTCCTTGGTCTCTGATCACCAGCAAGCACTGCTGTTAGACTCAAAGAGTCTGTTGGACCAAGGACATCAGCCAAGCATCTCTAATCCTCCCCACAGCCCACTGTTGTTGCCAACACTGAGCTCCTGCACAATCTTCCCTTGTCTTGTCTTCTCCTTTACCATGGCAGCCGTAGGATAGAGGGACACCTTGCCCTGAATGTGCTTCCGAAGCAGGAGAGTCCTGACAGTCTTCTCTTCTCAAGAGCACTTGGAAGAGGCTGTCAGTGATGGGCAGTGCTGAGAGGGGCACAGTGAGGCCCTGCGTTGGAGCAGCACTGCAGCTGCCAGAGCCCATTATGGTACTGCGGGGCCTCGTTAGCACTCGTTACTTTGGTTATGTTCAATTGTGATTAGTTACGGTGGAATTGTTGTAGGAAGTCACAGGCTTGCTTAAGCAGAAATTAACCATAAACATAAAACATAAATTATGAGAATGCCTAAGGGAAGCTCCTCTAAAAATACTGCGTTCAACTGACAAGGCAAATTCCTGATCAAACAAGCAGCTGTTATTACAGCATTACTTTGGTTTCATTAGCAAAGGTGTCAAAAAGTGGATGGGCATGGGCTGTGGTGGCTCCTATGACCATGAAGAGTGAGAGAAGAAAGGAGGTGAGGAGTGCTACCAGCAGCAGGGAACAGGAGACCTTTGTTGGGGTGCAGGGTGTGCCCAAAGCCAGGGACAGCCACTACTGGGAGTGCAGCATGGACCAAGAGTCCTGGTCTCTAGTGGTCCCTGGGATCTGTGCCACCAGACTGGCAGAGGATGAGGATCAGGATCAGGTTGTTGGGATCTGGGCTGTGACAATGGTGAGTCCTTAAATGGATGCTGCAACAGAAATTTGCCCTTTGAAAACTGCAATGAATTATTACCTGGGGAGAAACTCTGAAAACTGAGTGTAACTTCTGGTATTTCCTGGTTTGAAGAGTAGGAATAACAGCCTTTTTTTTTTTCCTGATGGAGAGTGATTTTCACTCATTTCTAGATAAAGTTTTCATTTAGGTTGGCTTTCTTCTTCTTTTGCCTGAATGTCACAGGTCTTTTCCCATCTACAGTTTTGCAAAAGGCTGTGATGTTCTTGTGAAATACTTCAGTGTGGATAAATGAGGTTTTTAGGTCAGCTCTGCTTACCTAGGCTTATCTCAATCCCCCTCCATATCTGGATAACCTCTTCTGCCCCTCTTCCCAGCTGCCCTGGGTGACACTGGAGCTCTGCAGCAGGACAGGCGGCAGCACGGACCCCCATCAGCAGGGATAGTGGTGCTCATGCTGTGGTCTCTCGTGACCCAGAGGGCTGCTGTCAGCTCTCTGGTGACAAGAGGAAGCTCTAACCCTGGTGTATGGTGGACACGTCCCAGTTTAAATCCTGCACGCGGCTCTGGTTTGATGGCATAGATACAAGAAAAGGTCAGTAGGAATTTGGCAAGCATGTTTATGAGCAAAGTGATAGATGAAACAGTAACAATCATTACAAAAAAATTTATGGAGCTGAACTGTCTTGAGAAAAGTAGCAGAACTGGAATGCCTGCTGCTGGCATAGCTCGCGATCAGCCCTAGAAAAGTGCATTGGTGCGGAGATGGGTTCAGAGCAGGCAGGTGGCTGGGGCCATGCTTTGGGGTCGGTAGGCTGACTGCCGATGGCTGTGGCTGATCTTTGCAAATGTAGGCCCTTTGTCCTGCCCACCCACAGCTGCTTGCTATTCTTGCTTTCCTGTCAGGGCCACAGTTCAAGGTCTCGAGAGGCACACGCGGAAAGGGAGCTGCAGAGAGAGTTCTCCCTCCCCGGCACACCTCCCTGTGCCATCCCACCACCCACCTGAGAGCAGGGTGACAATTTGATGGGGGGAGCTGGTGGAAGGGGAGGGACTGGAGGAGGAGAGAGGGGAGCCTTTGCCTTAATTCTTGCTGCATCTCCCCGGCGTGCAGTGGATTCCCCATCCGGACACTGGTGAGACGGGACTGGCTTGCCTGACAGATCCCACATGGGTGCAGGTGAGCTGGGCATCTGCTCGCCTGAAGGTCTGGCTGGGAGTGGGCCCGTGAATCTGTGAGGGAAAACACTTTCTGGCAAAGGGAGAGAGGGCTGGAGGGTGGGGATCAATTATCGGTTTGAATCAGCACAGGGAAGAGCTTGTTCCTAATGGTTCCTGTTAGACAGAGCAGGCAAAGTTGCACTGCCAGGAAGCGGTGGATACCTGAAGGATGGGCAATGGGCACTGAAGGCTGCAGCAGAGCAAGAGAAGTCCTCATGCAGCAGAAAGGTGGAGAAAGACATAAGAGGGGGCCAGAGAGGGATGGGAATGAAGAGCAGCAATAGCTAGGTAGTGATGTGTAGGGGGAAAAGCTTCAGGGCAAGCAGGAGGCAGTGACTCCCACCATGCTATCCTGCAGATTGTTGACCCTGTGCTAGTGTGTGGGCTTGGAGGTGCGGCTCCAAGAAGTGCTCTCTGCTCCTTATCCTTCCTGCTCAGGGTGTCCTCGGATCTGTTCCCAGTTAGGGGTGAAGAACCAGCCTGGGGGAGGGCAGGGAGAAGGCAAGGTCTGTGCATGTGCAGAAGCCCTGATCTGAGGGTGTGTTTGTGAACAAACCCAAGCAGATCACGTGGGGGTTTCATAACACCTGATCCACATCTCCTTAAATCAACAACAGTGCTTTAAAAGCAATCACTGTGGTGAACGGGGGCTTTCATCCAATGTCACTGGAAATGCTATTGCCCTAGTTTTCTTCACTGAGAACTGGAGATACAAGGGTCTGAACCTTGGACCTGGCCTTCACAGCTCTGCAGAAGCCCATCAGTGCTGGATGTGGAGCTGCAGATGTGGTCCCTGATGAGGGCTGCCCAGCAGGCCTTGTGCCTTACTGCTGCCTGCTGGTGCTCTGGGCAGAGCCCCAAGGCTTCAGTGCACATCCGTGTGCTCCCTGAGCTTGAAGCTCTGTGAAGGAGCAGCCCTGTAGCCACTGTGTCCCCTGCCTTGGACTCTGTTCTGTCCTTGTGGGTCTGCACGACAGGTCACTGTCCTGCCCCACTAGAACCTCTCTGCTACCCGTGCGCCTTGGCTGGCTGCCAGGCGTCCAGCTAGGCCCAGACTCCAACCAGGAGTTGGAGACTCCAACCCGGCCCAGGCTGCTGTAGGGCTTGGGTCTTCATGGTCTTCTGTGGCTTTGCCCTCTGCAGCAGAAACGATGAGCTGCAGGCAACTAAGAGCCGGTGGAGGGAAGAAACAAGCCAGCATTGCGCTTAGCATGGGTTGTGTTTCTCTGCTAGCAGAGGACAACGAGGAATGGCTTGGTCCACCTGAGCTGCAAAGGACTGCAGTCTGCACACCTTGCAGCTTGAATCATAGATATACGTGTCATTAGCATCTTTGCAGATGCTCCCACTCTCATTCTTGCTAGTGTCAGTAAGCAGCAAAAATGCTGATTGCAGGAGCATTGCCCTTTTTTCATGTTGGAGAAAATGCAAGCAGGGTCTGATCCTCACGGCAGGATGGCATGGATCCTCATGGCTTGGATCCTCTGTGCCCCAAGAACCTTGCTGGACTGATGCCTTCAGATACCCTGTAGCCCACACTACTCGCAAGTTAATTAAGAAGTGTAAAGAAGCCAGCTAGCTTTCAACATCTTGAAAAGAAAGGCATTTTAATTTGAACTGGTGTCTGGGAACTGGTCACGTTTCTCTTGCTATACTTTTCCTTGCCCTTCTTCTTGCAGCTGAAGTGAGCCATGGGGAGTCCAGGTTTGGGACCAGCAATCTCCCAGCAATTCATGTTTCTGGGAAGAGCTGCTGCTCCCATTTCCCTGTACATCTTGTGTCTTTGCCCTGCTCCAGCAGCAGCACTGCTCCAGCCTGGACTGCTCTTTCAGCTGTACCCTGGCACTGTACCCTTGTTCTCTGTCCTTGCTCCCTCCTCTCACCACTGGCATGTGGTACAGGATTCCAGCTGCCAGCTCATATCGTGCAGCCAGCAAATTTCCTGCATCGTCCTGCTCCTCCTTGCATAACACAGCACAGCCTGCCTTTCTGATTCCTCCCTCCCCACCTCAAATTGCAGTTCATGTGCTTTGCTGCTTCTTCTTCCACAATAAAGCCAGGACAAACACAAATGCAGTGCAGCTGTCTTCAGCCATCACCTGTGACTCTGCCTCCTGCAGCTCAGACAACACCTACCAGTGTCCAAAGGTTCATTACACTGCGCTTCCTCTGGTGAGCGTTATCTTCTGCTTTTTGATATGGTATCAATTGCTGATTCACTGTTTGCTCCTGAGACTGCCCTCTTCTCGTTTGCCTTGAGATAAAACAGCAGAAGAGGGTCAAACAGAGGAAGTCAGCTGCCCAGAGGCAGGGCTCTTGAGTGGTGACACTGGGCTTGTTGGAAGGCAAGCTTCTCCCTCCTATGCCAGAACTCCTGGTGGCTTCCTTCTCTTTTTTCTCTTGTTTCTATTGCATATGAGCAGTCCTCAATCAGTCTTTTTTGCCTTAGGAAGGGCTGAGGTACCACCAGGATTTGCTTTCGAAGGATACTTTCATTCTCCTCTTTCTGATTCCTGCCTCTCTCTTTAATGACAGCTTGCTACCAAACACAACCAATAAGCATTGCTTTTCTGCATAGTGCTTTTGGCATGTGGGACTGAACTGGCTCACAGCACTTCAGGTGTGTCCTTGGCCTTGCTTGCCCTGAGTGGCTGTACGTGAAGGATCCTATGGCTGTGGGCCAACAAAACCCCAAAATTGTGAACATGGAGAGATGTGGTTACCTCAGTCAGCTTCTGAGGAAGGGACTTGTTTGAGGCTGCCTGCGTGCTGTCTGCTCTCTTTTCAGTGACAGGCAGAATACAGAAGTATTCTGATTTTTGCATCATTTACACCTTGTGGAGAAAAAACTTGGCTGCTGGCACACACCGTGCCCTGTTTCAAACCTGTCCTCTTCCCTCTCTGGGGAGAGGACAGGTCATGTCTGCAAGGCCTGGCCTGGAAAATCATAGAATTGTTTGAATTGGAAGGTACTTTTAGAGGTCATCTGGTCCAACCTCCATGCAATGAACAGTCACCCACAGATAGATCAGGTTGCTCAGAGCCCCATTCAGCCTGACCTTGATTGTCTCCAGGGATGGGGCATCCACCACCTCCCTGGGCAATGTGCTCCAGGCACCTTACTGATGAACTGGGGGTTGAAAATACAGTAGGGCATCTCTGAAAGTGGCTGGTGAGGCTGGAAGGAGGTGAGGTCAGAGGATGGAGCTAATGGATGAGGGGCAGAACTGTGGGCTACGCCAGGGGCATCTCAGTCATGGGAAGGATCTCATGGCAAAGGAACAAAAGAGACTGAGAATGAAGGAGCCAGTTTTCTTCAAATGTTGATGACGGAAGAGCAGAAGAATTGCAGGCAGGCAGTGAGAAGCAAAATAATTTTTCCAGGCTTGTGTATTAAGGACAGAAGTATCTAAAGGGAGAAGAAAATGCATGTCAGGGAAGATGTAACACAGTGGGTGTCTGGACTACTGTGGGAGACTCATAGTATTCCTAGTTGGAAACAAGAAGCTATTTGAGTCCCCATCTGGCCTGGGAACATATATGGCAGGAGCACAGTGGGAGTAGATGTTCCAGAAAAGAAGCAGGAGTTGTGTGAATAGGCTTCCTCATAGAAACAGCAGGCAACACAGAGGAGGGAAATCTTATGTGTAATGCTGTATATCACTTTGCTTGGGAAGGGAAAAATGGGAGCTTGAGGCACAGAGGGCCCAAACTTCAGGCACTGGTTTAATCTACCATCCACACCCAGTTGAAAAGGCTTATTTCCATAACTTGGGTTCTTCTCCCTTTTTTTGCAATAGGAAAATAAAGCCAGGAGCACAGCATCTCCCCTGCTGATCCATGCTTTCCCTGGGCGGCATTCCAGATTCTACTCTTCATGTTGGATGTTTTGGGGCCAGGGGATGGGGTCAGAGAGGGTCAGAGCCCATGTCCTGCTCCAGACATCCCTGATAGCAGCACTGGGGCTCTGGGCTAGCACTCAGCACTGCCTCCAGAGCTGAGCAGAGGAGATGGCTGCCCATCAGTGAGCTTCCCTGCCTCTCTGAGAGACAGGGCTAATGCACAGCCAGGGAAAACACAAATATTAGTAGAAATAGACTGCTTCTTGGATCTCCTTGCATTAAAAGAACAAAAGCAAAGAATTAGCCAAGTCCTCTCCTGTCAGCTTCTCATGACATCCTCAATAAGCCCAGACTTAAGCATCATTGTACTTGATAATGTGCCCTGGACTGCAGCAAATTGGGACATGCCAAGGACTGTGACAGATCAAACATGTTTCATTAAGTACGTGCTATTTTTTTCGCTCCCATTTGATAATGCGAGGAGCTCTGCTACTCTCAGAGCCGAGGAGACTGTGCTGCAGCATCTGAATGAACTGATGAGCCAGCTGGCAGCCCTGCAGCAGGCAGGCAGCAGGGAGAGGGTCCTTCAGAAGCCAGGAAAAGGCTGGCGGCAGGGCCTGGCCCTTCCCCTTCACATCCATCCCAGCAGGGAAGCAAAGTGGAAGGGGCAAAGCTGGGGCTGAAAAGCTTTCAGGTTTAATGGGGAACCAGAATCTTTGTGCAGTGCTTTTCAGCAGGCAGACATGTAGCCATGAAAATGGCCTCCAATGGCCCCTAACTGCCCTTCTCCGTGCTATATGCCCCACTGTTCTTGCTGCAGCTCATCTTACTAAAGGCAATGTTAGAGCTTTGTATGTGATTCAGTCTTCTGCTTTCAGAGTCTGTGGAAAGGTCACCCTACGCTGGGGTGCATTATGCACAGCGTTGCCAGCCAGTTGAGGGAAAGTGATTGTCCCACTCCACACTGCACTGGTGGAGCCTTACCTTGAGTACTGTGTGCAGTTTGAAGTGCCACAGTACAAAAAGAGCATAAAAGTATGAGAGCGTCTAAAGGAGGGTTAAAAAGATGAAGGAGGTTCTGGAGGGCAAAGTGTGAAAGGAGCAGCTGATGACCCTTGGTGTGCTCAGCGCAGAGCAGAGGAGCTGAGGGGAGGCCTGATGGCGGCTGCAGCTCCTCACAGGGAGCGGAGGGGCAGCGCTGAGCTCTGCTCTGTGTGACAGCGACAGGGCCCGAGGAACGGCATGGAGCTGTGTCAGGGGAGGGCAGCTGGGGGTGAGGGACAGGTCTGCACCACGGGGTGGTGGGCATGGAACGGGATACACAGGGCACTGGGCACGGCCCCAAGTGCCGGAGTTCAAGGGGCACTGGGACACCGGTCTCAGACACAGAGTTTGGTGCTGTGTGAAGCCAGGGATTGTGCCCAATGATCCTTATGAGTCCTTTCCAACTTGAGAGATTCTGTGACTCTATAAAATATGCTGCTGATATCAAAGGGAAGTGTAGGACGCCTTGACATGAAGGCAGATGGGGATGGAAAGGCCTGGGCATTTACAGAGCAATTGATGTTTTACACTATAGTCTGGTTTCTTTTCTGTACTTGGATGACAGAAAATATGCCTTCTGCCAAAGCCTGCTTGCTTTGCTATGCACATTCACTAAAATGCCTTTTCATATGCAAGTGTCTTTCTCTGCCTGAGGACCTGATATATCCAGAGGGTTAGCATTTAGGAAATGATTTCATTTGCATTAGGCAACTTGCAGAAGCAAATGACAGCCAGTGATAACGATGCTGTCTTATGTGAAGCAAGCTCAAGCATCGCCAACCTTATCCTGCTTCGCTCTCACCCTGTTGAACACTGCACCAAAAGAAACGCCATGGTGCTTTTATGCTACCGGGCCAGTTTGTTAGTAAGTATTGTTATTCCCAGTTGCCTCAGGCTTTCTGATTGTCCTTACAATCTAGCTAGCCTTAAGTGAGAAAACTGGAGAGAACGTACAAAGAGAGAAAGAATGGCGTCCTGGTTCCATATGAGACTGCAAAATGTTGTTAGATGGGTTTGGAGGTTCTGTAAAGTGGAGTCAAGCGTGGTGAGGTATTGCTCATTCTATTGGCTGGGAGAGGTCCCTAGTCTGAGCCACTTCCAGAGCCATGCCTGGATTTCACCTGGGCTTCAATGGTCCAGGGGAGATCCAGGGACAGAGGAAGAGATGAACAGTGTGGGCAGCACAGATCCCTATCTCTGCTGATCCTTGGTAATGGGCATGGCCCCTTAGGGTGCACAGAGGAAGAAGTAGAAGTGATGTTAAGATACCAACCAAAACCACCGGCAAGCTAATGTGAAGAGAGGAAGCCCTGGTTTCTTTGCACTTACAGACAGTGGGGATGGAAGCCTTTCACAGAGATGTTGTTACTTTGGAGAGATTTGCTTCCAGTGCAGCTTCCTAAGTCAAGCAAGGGAACATCTGTCACTTGCTGACACCAACTGGACCTTCTGAGGCCAACTTCTGAGCAAAGCCACCAGCAAGATGTAGCTACAGGACTTCCCTGGCACAGTTCATCGTCTACCCTGTTCATGTTAAGTCTATGCTTCCCATGTGCATCCTTACACCAGGTAACCCATTAGGGCATGCTTCTGAGGAGGATTATTTCAGATGGGTAAAAGAAGATTCCTGTCTTTACACTTAATCTTCTCTTTATAATCAAATACTGGGAATCAGTGTGAAGATGTTGTCAACAAGAAGATTTATTCTAGCTTGAGTGAATTTTGGCTAGATTTAGACTGACTCTGTGTACAACAGAAAACTACATTTTGCAACAAGCAATGACTAACCTTGTTTAATTAAGATGACGCTACGGATAACTCATTATTCTCTATAGATTAGAAAATGTCTTCCCTGTTCCACCCCATAGGCCCAGCCACATTCAGTGTGGCTTCTCAAGCAGTGAGTGAATTTTCTCTGTGATTTTTCTTTCACTTTTGCACTCACGGTGACAGTAGGAATGGGTCTGTTGTTGCAGCTGGTCCCCTCACTCCTTTTCCCACCAGCAGCTCCCTGCACCTGCATTCTGTTTCTCCTCTGTCCCACAGAGCCATGACCAGAGCCATAGTCAAGAAGGCAGAGCCCAATGGGGCAATTGCAGCTCCTGAAGAGACAGAAAAGGAGGAAATGGAAGAGCGAGGCCAGTGGAGCAGCAAAGTGGAGTTTGTGCTGTCTGTGGCTGGAGAGATCATTGGTCTGGGTAACGTGTGGAGGTTCCCATACCTCTGCTACAAGAATGGCGGTGGTAAGTTGTCAGTAAGAGTTGTTCTTGGTCTGCAGACACTACAAGATGCACTCATATCTGGGCCTATTTCTCCCCAGTGGGTGCTGCTTCTCAGAGCAACTCTGCTGAGTTTAAATTACAAATTAATCTTCTAGGAGGGGAGCCCTACCTCTCAGGAACTCTTTGAGGCTCTTGGGGATTCAGAGACACATATGGTCTTCCAAAATGAGCTGTGAGGGGTCAGAAAGCCAGCATCAACCTCCTTCTGCATCATTAGCTTTCCCACTCTATCTGTTACTCCCACCTCTCTCAGGCCCTTGTTATAGAGGAGGAAAGGCTTTGATGGTGCCAGTATCCTTGCTAAAGCCTGATATGTCTTTCCTAGCACCTGGGTGCACTCTTCCTTCTTCAGAAAACTTGAACTCCCACCTGCAACTCTCACAGGGTTGGCTGCCCTATGGTTATAAGGGCAAAACAGTGTTTTATTATACCAGCATAACTCAGCTCCAGAAGTGGTGGAAGCTGAAGCATCTTATCTTGTTGTATAGGGAAATATAAGACAGAAGGGCCATCTTTGAGAATGTGTGAGAAGGGTTTTCTCTGAGGATGGAAAGAAGAAGGATGCAGCTTCCACTTTCCGAGGAGCAGATCTGCCAGTGGTCAACACACTGCTAGGGAAATCTGTCCCCAGGAATAACCTATTCCCTTTCCTTTTGTTTCTTAAGTGGCTGCCCCTTTCACAATAACAATGCAATAAAATCATTAAGTGGTTAACAAATAAGTTTTCTCATAACAATAAAACATAGCTGGGGAGGAAGAAGAGAATAACTGACTGCCACTAGCTTTTGTTAGTACGTTTCCCTTGCCTTAAGTATTTTTTCCCTGCAGACCATATCTCAAAGGCCATTCTTCCCCCATGTGCTGTAAGCTGTCACCAACAGATTGCTGATTCAGCTGTTCTTCATCGCAAGATTACCAAATTCTCATCCCCTGTGTTCTTTCTGGAGTTCTTCCAAATCAAGCTGGAGTCAATACAATGTCACCTCTGAGCCAGATGGGGGTTGGATAAGAAGATGGTTTAAGAAAATAGAAAGAGTCTTTACTTGAACCTGGGATAGTTTTTTTAGCATATTCTTTAGTTTCCTTCTTCGAGATTTTGATGGCTGTAAGTAAGTCAGAAAAGCACAGGATACCTAATGCTGGTGCTGCACATTATTGAACAACCCATTCTGCGGTGATGATTTGAGAGAAAGGTCATGTCTTTTGCATGGAAAGTTCTTTCCTGGGCTTGGATGATACCTTTATATAGTGTATGTCTATGTTATCCAGTCCAGTAGTCCTTGCAATTTGTATGCTGATTAGTGCGGAAAGGCTAATTTTTATTTTAAAGGTTTTTTTTGTTTGTTTGTTTGTTTTAAATTGAACTACTTTAGAATATCTGATGCTGTAATTCAGAGGCCAACAAGGCTAGGTTTGAGAAAGATTAGGACAGGAAAGTCCTTTTCTTCCAACTCACACACTGCCATTGCAGAAAATATGCTACGACTGTAGGGGAAACATTTCTTTCTCCAGTGCTCCAGGGAAACAAATGGTCAACAAACTAGTATGGGACAACATGCTGTCTTTCCCATGACACTAAAATATATCCTTACCATTGAAAAAGCCCTTGACATTATTGCAAAAAAAGGTGTTTGTCTTTTGTAAGTGCTCCACTGCCGTCACTCTGGGAATGGTGTCCTTTACCTTTCTCTATCTTCCAACACAGTAAAACAGTTATAAAGTTGTAAAGACCAATGAAAAAAAAAAACAGATCGTGCTAATTTTTTGTAAATCAACTGACTGTAAGCTTGTGTATGGTTTCACTTCAAATTTGATCTAATTGCTCAGCATCCTGTAGTTGTAGAATCTTAAGGAAAGGAGCTCTGTTTCTGGGGTTTTTCTTGCTGAGCCTCCTTTAGTGGAGAAGCAAAGAGGGGAGGAGATGGCAGCTGGAGTATCAGCTGGTAACAGCCTGGGAAGGTTAAGGGAGACAAGACAGGAAACGTATAAGAAAGCCCTTGTTGCTCAGAATAAAACAGGTCAGCCTTTGAGACGTAATACCAAAGGAGAGGGTCTGGCCTGCTGGAAGGCTCCTGCATGCACAGGATAATAAAATTGTCCTGCAGATTTGTTGCAAAGGGGTCTTGTAACAAAGCAAAGGAGCAGCTGCCTCTGGTTTAGCATAAGCAGTTCCCACTGCCTGCTCTGCAAACCTGTATGGAGGCTGTGAACTGGGTTCCCTGCCTCCAACCTCAGGTCCCCTGTAGCTACAGCACAGCTGTGTTTAGAGAAAATCTGGATCAGCTTGTTATTGTAACATTGCTGGCTTAAAAACAAGAGGAAATGTTCCTAATTGCTAATTATCCTTCATGAGAAGGAATTTCAGCACGAGTGGCAGTGCTGGCAGGGGAGAACTGGGACCTGGGGACAAAGCCTGTTCCTGTTGAGGCCCTCATTTCTGCTGTCTACAAAACTGCTGCTCCCCAGGCATTGGTGGTGGGAGATGCTTGTGACCAAATTTTGCTGTGTGATGGAAGGACCCTGACAAAAAGGCATCTACCCTGACCTGCTTTGCTTTTACTGCCTGCCTTTGGAGGGGAGTGAAAATGTGGAAACCTCACTCTATTTTAATGAAAAAAACAAAGAGAGAAGTTAAACTTTTTCATTTTGAAAATACTAGACAGAGACTCTCTTGCCATCCCTCTACTTCCGTTCTTTCAATGCAAACTACTTGTCTAATTTGACGTGAAATTTGTCTCAAGCAAATTTATACCCCAATAGATTTATTATTCATCAAGAAATGCCACAGTCTCCAGGTTTATATCCTCCAAGCAAGTTTTCTGTGACTCCCAGGACAGGCAGAACAAATGCAATTATGTGAAGCAAGGGCTCCTTGTGCTTTGCCTGTCTCCTGCTGAAAGTGAACACGAAGCTGGGGAATGACAATGGGGACAATTTTGTAAGTGTGGTCTTTTCCCATTAAACAGCTCTACCTTACCTCTAGCCATTGGCCAACAGAAATGCAGCAGTACTGCAGAAGCATGAGGCAGACCAGACTTGTATTTTTCCAAGAACAGATGAAGTAAGAGAACTTTCTCTTTGGCAGAGGCCATACAGTTAATTCAGGGAAATATTTCTGTTTACATCTAGAGGATTCCATCTGTGGCCGAAGGTATCTGTAAGGGGTGTGTAGGGTAAGGTTTTAAAGAGGTTCCTGAGGCAGTATCTGATCTCTGTTTGCAGGAGCATTCCTCATCCCCTACCTCATCTTCCTCTTCACCTGTGGGATCCCACTGTTCCTTCTGGAGACAGCACTGGGGCAGTACACCAGCCAAGGAGGGGTCACTGCCTGGAGGAAGATCTGTCCCATCTTTGAAGGTGAGTCAATTTACAGGAACTGCTGGCAGCACCGTCTAAAAATTAGTGACTCAGAGCCTCTTTTGGAAGCATTATTCTGCTTCTCTTTTTCTCTCTTTCCCTCTCTTTCTCTCTCTTCCACATTTCCTCTCTTCTTTCTTTCTTTCCTTTTTTTTTTTTCCTTTTTTTTTTTTTTTTCCTATTCTCCCTCCCTTCCTTTCTCTTTCAGCCTTGTTTTCTCTCCTGGTGCCTGCTGTGTGTACGGGTGATTCCAGTAGGTGACTAAAGGTGAGTGGTGCTGGGGAAGAGGGTGTGTTGACAAACACCTGCATGGAAGCTGGAACAAATGCTGAAGAGAGAGTGAGGCTGATGTCCTGCATACTGGGGTTGTTGTGCTGCAGCCACCACACTGACAGCCTGGAGCTGGGCTGGGACAAGTGTGAGAACTAGGACTCCGGAACTAATTTTCTCATGGAAGAAGATTGCTAAATGGCTTTAAGATGTTAATGAATTTAACTTTCACAATTCTTCTGCCCAGAGGAGAGTCTATTACACTAATTTTTATGGACAGAGAATCATAGAATCATAATGGTTGGAAAAGACTACTAAGATTGTTAAGTCCAACTGTCAGCCCAACAGCACCATATTGCTAAATGTGTTCCTCAGTGCCACATCCACATGGTTTTTGAATGCCTCCAGGGGTGGTGACTTCACCCCCACCCTGGGCAGCCTGTGCCAGTGCGTCATTGCTCTTTCTGAGAAGAAATGTTTCCTAATATCCAACCTGAGCCTCTGCTGGTGCAACTTGAGGCCATACCCTCTGCTTCTATTGCTGTTACTTGGGAAAAGAAGTCAACCCTCACATTGCTGCAACCTCCTTTCAGAGTGTGATAAGGTCTTCTCTGAGCCTCCTCTTCTCCAGACTGAACAATCTCAGTTCTCTCAGCCACTCACCACAAGACCTGTGCTCCAGACCCTTCACATCTTTGTTGCCTTTCTCTGGACACTTTCCAGGGCCTCAACGTCTTTCTTGTAGCGAGGGGCCCAAAACTGAACACAGTACTTATACTGCAACCTCACCAGTGCCAAGGAAAGAGATACCTGTGTTCAGGCAAATTAAATACCAGCACAATGCCTGGAGGCAGACAGCAATGGTATCTCTAAGGGTGCTCACAGCCAGTTTTCAGCAGATGAATTCAGGCTTTCTGACCCAGTGACTTTTCTGGTGTCTCAGTGAGTGATGAACCCAAGGACCCAAGGGCAGAGCTTGTATCCTATATCTGGTCTTTTGCCCCATCACCATATTTTATGCTTGGTGTACATCACCAGTGAGAACCTTCTTGCCCAAGTCTTTCCAGAAGACATAAACTCACCTGTATTTTTTTCTTTCAAGGCTATACGTCTTGTTTTCCTAAAGGCGAGGCAGTGTAATGTAAATAGCACACTAGTATCAGAAAAATATTTTCTCATCAGTGAAAAGTTTTCTCCCTCTGTTCCACCATATAGCTGTCTAGAGATACCAGCAACATTTCCTGTCTCCATAAAATCCCTTCTCTTTCCTAGAGGTAGCTCTTACTCTATTCTCTAGTGACCTATGTGCTTGGCATTACACTCTACTTACCATAGCGTGGACTATGCCTTTTTTTTGTTTTTGGGGAGGGGGTGGGGGATGAATTTAGACATTTGGTTTCTGACAGCCTTCTCAGAGGCTTTGTTTTCCTTCACAGGAATTGGATATTCCTCGCAAGTCATTGAGGTCTATCTAAACATCTACTATATCATTATACTGTCCTGGGCACTCTTCTACCTGTTCAGCTCATTCACCACTGTACTACCATGGGCCAGCTGCAACAACCCTTGGAACTCAGGTACACCTTCCTCTGGTTGGCTTCTGGTGGGAGGAAAGGTAGGATACGGAGTCTCAGTTTTCAAATAGTTTCATGCAATCACAGAATCACAGATTCATAGATTCCTTTTCTCCCTTCCTAATTCCCAGAAATTATTTGGATTTTGTAGAAAATGCTTTTTCATTTGTCTAAAAATATTTTTACTGTAGATGAATGTCTTGGTTTCTGACATTATTTTGTAGTTGTACTGTGGGTTTCACAGAGTACTGTCTGCAACTATGGTTGCTCCCATGAGGTGCACTGTGGTCTGTGGGATTCCTGTGAAGGCAATTGTCTTCATTCACCATGGACAAATGGCCAGGAAGAGTGAGTGAGTGGTCTGGCTTTATGCTTAGCATTAGGGGGACAGTAAGACTATTTCTGCATGGAGATACTTTCATTATTGAGATTTCACTGAACAATCCACATTTTCTGGAAAATGGGATACGTGGGTTGAGAAGAGTTTTCAAGCCAATTTAGAGTCTCCCTCAGAAGGCAAGAGCTTTTCATTAGCTCTGGCTTTATTTTACAGTTCCCTTTTGCTACTTGGCTCCTTCTGAGCTTCTGGAGCAGTAGCTCAGCTGTTTGCTTTTGCACGCTCCACTTTTGGCTAAATCAGCCCAAACCTGCATTGGAGAATTTGCCAGTATGAGTCTCCCAGTGCAGGAACAGGGAACACAAAACTCTTGAAGCCCTCTTCTTCTGGTCTAATTTCATTGTCTTGGCCAGGGATCTCATTTCCTCATGCCTACAGATCACAACACCATGCCCAGAAGTAAAGACTAGGCTTTCATTTTATTTAAGACACTTGGGCTGTTCCTAGGAAGTAGAATTAGATATGAGGTAACTTTCATGGATCTGATGAGGCTTGGCAGGCTTTTTTTTTTTTTTTTTACCATATTGAACAGGTTGTTTTGCTTTCAGTTCAAAGCCAGGATGGAAAGGGCTTTGGCAGCAGCTAAAGCCCTTTATTTATTTATTTATTTTGTCATGAATCATTCCTTTGATGTGTTAAATTTCCCTGCCCTATGGGCTATTTACTCACAGCTTCCTCTGCCCCTACATCACAGCAGAGGTAAGCATCTTTGTAAAGAGTGGATCTGATTCCTTTAGCTCCCCTGACATGCTTTTTGTTTTTGTTTTTTTTGGGGGGGACGGGGAGGGGAGGGAGGGGAGTTTTTGTTTGTTTGTTTGTTTTGTTGGGAAAACCACAGATGTTCTCTTCATGTGCTGAAGCTTCCCAGCCAGAGCTGGGATTCCTCTGTTTTCCTGTGGACTATCTTATGCTTGCCAAATGCGTGATGAAGTGCATTTCTTGGATGCCCGGCATCTCCTCCATTTTCAGCAGTTTTACACTATGTGACAGAGTTGGGAATGGTGTAGTGGAACATGAAGGCAGTTGTGGTGTTTGAGAATATACACATGTATGTGTGGATAGCAGATGATGTGTGGTGTGTGAGGAGAATGGGATTTTCTATCTTTTTTATTTTTCTATCTTTTTTATTTTTGGCTACCTACGGTGGCTTCTTCACAGTAATCTACATTTTGCAGTCATGTGGTTTCCATTTGGCAGGGAACTGCTCTCCCCTTCCCCTCTCTCCTTACCCAAGCTCTCTGCCTACTCTTGGACTGGAATACATAGCTGGGGAGAGCCAGGCTTCAATGAGATGCTTAATGAGATACAAAAGTTTAATGAGATGTTTTATAGCACAGGGTGAAAAGTCTGTGTACAGTCAGCATGAAGGTTAGGGAACAGTGGGGAAGGAGCATCCCTCATGGAGGAGTCTTGGAAAATTTATCTGGCTCATTGACTTCCTTTTCTTTTGGTAGATCTCTGTGTGGACTTTCTGAATAGCTCCGACTGGGACAACAGAACTGTGCCTGCAAACGCCACCTCTCCAGTGGTTGAGTTTTGGGAGTACGTGATCACCTTTCTTCTGTTCAGAATCCTCTCTCATCCAGGAAATATGCTAGTGTGGGAGGGATTCCATAGGATCAAGTAGGGTGCCACGTGTCAGAAGGAGGGGCATGTCAGGGAGCACAGTGCACAGAGCTGCCAAGGAGATCATCATGGATTCCAGAACTAAATGTACCCTGAAGGCTGCTTGCAGTAGCATGCCTGCCTAAAGGGCTTGTGTGCACACATGCATATGTTCTGGCACTGAGATGTCAGGCCAAAAAAGAAGTACCAAAAGAAATGAAGAATTTCTGTAAGCCAGGTGTTCTCTGTAAGAAGAGACCAGGGTGGACTGATCAGTCCTCTACAGTGAAATAGAAAGGCTAAAACTGCCATTTCACTTCTTCTGAACACATCTTTCCAAAGGAAGAGGTCTGTTTGGCTGCCCTGTCTTTGTACATGGGAAGGAGACATCTGAGGCAGATAGGTGAGGCACCAGATAGGCACTCAGGAAGGCTTAGCCATGGGTCTGGAGGTAATGAATCACCTATGAAAGAGGTGCATCAGGCCAGCATCTTAGAGGGGCTTCTCACTGCAGCCCAAAGAGTTTGAAATCGCTGCAAGAACCATGCTGTTTCTATAGCTCTTAAAGTGCCCCTGAGAGGAGTGAGGTTGTCCCTTGCAACAACAAAAGTGCAAAGAGAATATGAAGTATGCCCATGGATGCAGAAAAGGTTGCATGTTGCCAGACTCTCTTTCCTGCCCTGTTCTTTACATCTGTGGATTGCTACCTCTCAGAAATAGTTGTTTGGGGCTTTTGCACAAGCTGCAATGCAAAGGGAACCACAAGGGGGGTTGATTTGGAAGAAGGAGTGCATAGGAATCCTAAGTGTGGGTCTGGACTGCTGTAACTGCATGAGCTGCCGGGCTGAGCTCTGCTGTTGTCCATCTTGGTGATGGTGAGTATTCAGAGAATGAGGCTGAAGTAAGGAGATAGGAAACACAGAGACAATTCTAACTTATGTGCAGGATGTCCATAGTGTATGGAGAGGTGAGAGGAAAGAAGTGGCCTTGGGTTGATGATAACATTAGTAGCTTGCTTTGGATGGAGAAGTGTCTACTTAGCAGCTGTCAGGGTGATGGATCAGTGAGGGGTACGTGATGATTTCGTTCTGTGTGGGTCTGGTGGGCACACTGCAGTGGGCTGGGAAGGTTGGAGGGCTTGGGCTAGCTGCGGGGCGCAGTGGAGCAGCATCCACAGGAATAACAGAGAAGCAAGCCCTTGGCAATGCTGGGGTAATTCACTCATCTGGGAGCCCAGATAGATCTGTTTAGTCTTTTCATGGGGTAAAATGTCAAAGGTGTATTTGGATTAATGGAATCTGGGGTGTTAATGCTTATCTCCCTGTCCCTGGATACCGGCAGGAAGAGAGTCCTGGGACTAACGGATGGTATTCACAAACTGGGCACTGTGCGCTGGGAGCTGGCTCTGTGTCTCCTGCTGGCATGGATCATCTGCTACTTCTGCATCTGGAAAGGTGTCAAGTCCACAGGAAAAGTAGGAACAGAGATGGTCCTCCTCATCCATAATCCTCCTTGTACCCATCTTACATTTCTTTCCCAATCTCTTACTTTTTCATGAAGTAGAGACTGGAGACACACAGCACCAAAGTCAAACTTAAAATCTGGTGGGTTCATATTGATTTACATTGGTTGTATTTGACCCATAAAAGGAAGGATGAAAAACGGGGAGGGAAAAGCAGTGGAAGAGCTGGGAACTGATGGAAATCATAGGTCACCTTTGTCCTTGCAGACAACACACAGTGGCTGATGGATACTCCACAAATGTCGTTGAGAACCACTCACTCATCAGTGTGTTGTCCCAGTGTGACCTATTTATGTTTTTAGCTAGATCCTCTTCAGTATTGAGCTTTCTATCCCTGGCAATAATTAAACAGTTAAGCAAAATAGAGAAGCTTCTGCCTTCAGCTGTCTCAGCAAACAGATCACTAATTTCTCCTGCTTCTTTATCCTGCAAAATAGTTGGAGTGGGAGAGATGTCTTTGTGCTTTCCTTTTGGCTCCCTTTTGTACTCTCTCTGGCTCTGTGGTCTTTGGCTCAGCAAGTCTTTGTGCATTCTGCTGTTGAGGCTGAAGCCATTGCTCCAGTTCCCACAGGTCAGTCAGTCAGGTGGACTGTATATCCTTCTGGTATGGATGAATGTGGTGTGCCTCGGGGTGGGTGTCAGGGACTCTGCTATAGCCTTGACTTGGTCAGGGCATCCTTCCTCCCTGGGGCCATGATGAGATGGGTAGGTTATCAACGTAAGGGCATTCAGCAGATGTCCCAGCAACAAAGAGAGGGGAGCCAATTTTTTGCAACAGCATTCTTCCAAATAAGTTCCAAATAATCCCTAATATTGACAAATGTTCCCTGTAGAACTGCAGACCTTTGTTTGTTGCAGTGTCAAATCCTACTTCCGACCTTAAAACTGCATTTTAATGGGCCACTGTTTTAATAGAACAAGATAAGAGCTTGCTCTGCTCTCCAGAGCCTCTTGCTGGTGCTGACCTGTCTTTCACCACTTCTCAAGGAGGGAGAGCAAGACTCCAGATCTGTGGGAGAGGGGCTTTTAAATTGTCAATCTCTGATGCTCCATGTAAGCTGTTTTGTTAACACAGTGCCACCTTCACAAGAGTTATCATTCTGATCTTGTGAGTCTGGGTCTATGTGGAAGTGAAATTGAGTTGTTGCAGGTTCCCATCAACTCTCAGCCCTCTTCCCACCATGCCTTTCCTTTGCCCAGTGCTGCTCAGATGCAGGGAGTTTGCCTTGTGAGAGAAGGCTAAAGAAGTTCACTTAATCTGGGATCAAATTGGGTTTGGCAATGTCAGTCCAGAAAGTGAGAGTTCAGCGAGTGCAGGCAGTAGCTTTCATGGTTTTCCTGGGACCACAGATTTTCCCATTGCAAGGTTTAGGATACAGGACTTATTTTTTCCTAGTCAAGTGTATGGACCAGGTGAGTAACACAGGGTGGGTTTTCTTGTTCCAGTCCACAAGCCAGACAGACCAGTAGTCCGCTCTGCAGGTAGTTATATTGAGATTTATAGGAACACCATCACAAAACTCTGTTCCTTTCTTTTTCAACCCTGAATACACGTTAGGACAGGCAGTAGGGAGGTCCCAGAAACTCTGGGTATGTGCATAATTTTGTTTACCCATTGCAGAGTAAACAAATGCTGTGCTTGTCTGAAGGGCTGCATCAATCAGATAACCCTTCCAGACTCTCGTACTTATGCTTCTGTCATTTAAGGAGTCTAAACTTAAAGAAACAATAGTAACCTCAGGAAAATAATTTCAAATAATCCCATGAAGACCCATTTCATTGAAAGCCTTTTTCTCTTATTCATTTTGCCCACTCCTGTACACTTTCAATCTTTCCTTTCCTGATGTAATCAGTTGATCTGTGCAGATGTTCCCCAGAAGTGATTTCTGAAGGTACATTTTCATTCTTGTGCCAAAAATGCTCCTGTTCTCTTTCAGTCAGGGAGCAGCAGAAGTGCTGAGTACCATGACTGATTTGACCAATTATCACTAGGCAGCAACAACTTCATTTCTGACCTCTCACTTTGAATCCATACAGTAAACAAGCTTTAATTTTACTTGGATGAATTGTAGTAGTGAATAAATGTTAAGAAGTTGCGGATTGCTTATGGCTGTTTTGCAAACAACAGCAACTAAAAGTTATATTGGGCAATAGATCAGGGATGATTAATTCTACTGTAATATTTGTTTACATAGCACGCAGGGAGATGTGAAAAGAAAGCTTTACAGAAACAATGGTATATGCTTTCTTGACAGACTTCTAGGCTCCAGGCGTCCCCATTTTTTACCCATGAGCACAGAGGCACTGGAGCAATGAGGGAGTCATGAGCACCCCTGGAAATGCAGTGTCAAATTGGGCAGCAAAAGTTGCTGTTTAATTTGGAAACCCCTTGCTGGGAATGGGACAATTTTAATAACTCCTCATTAAAACTCAGTGACAGGAAGAGACGTAGGTTTCTTTTGCAGCTCTGGAAAGATGAAGAGAACAGCTTGAGAGCAGGGAAATGAAGATGATTGGAAAGAGAAAATAGCAAGAGCAACCAGTGACAAAACCTTGTGTGAGGAACAGAGCATAGATTAACAAAACCACTGCTGAGATGTAGCCTTGATTAATCCCTTTCCCATCCCACATCCACGTTAGCAGTAGTGGCCGTGGCCAGAGAAGTTCTGGGGACATCTACTGGGTGGGGGCTGCAGGTGGAACAAAGTAATGGCTGCACACCCTGCCGACCCTCCCTGGTTTCCCTGCAGGTCGTGTACTTCACTGCCACCTTCCCATACGTCATGCTGGTCATCCTGCTGGTGCGGGGAGTCACGCTGCCGGGTGCCGCTGAGGGGATCGTCTTCTACCTGAAGCCAGATGTCTCCAGGCTAGCAGACCCACAGGTGAGTGGGGCAGATGAGGTTCTGTCTTCCTGTTCTCGGGGGAGGCCTTCAGACTGGGAGAACCTCGTTACAGGGTGAGCAGGGCCTGGTCCCCACGTTGAGCAGATTCTCTGCTCACATCTGCAGCATATGGGCATATTAGGTCACTGCTACTCATGGGCTCAGCAAAATCAGAGGAGCGCATGAAATATTCAGCATGCAGCAGATGGTTTTGCTGGGTCTTAAATACAAATAATTAAGGAAAGGTGGGGGGGAAGCAATCTATGACTTTCCATTTCTTCAGGCCTGCTTAGAGCTTTGTTTGCCTGGGACCCACCACATGCCATCAGTGCACATCCCAACATGCAGTCAGATCTCTTCCCCCATCCAGGTGGGCAAACTCAGGACCCCCATCTCAAAGACCCCAACACTTCTCCATCACAGCAGGTGGCTTTCCTTCCCAGGAGGGCTGAGCAGCGTATGCAGGCTGCATGTACCATTTCACCAGGGTGTTAATGCAGCTCTCTAGCCCCAAGGAGGGTATTTAAATGACATTGCTGCTAATTATTCTGCTGCTAAATCTTTCTGTGGAGGCAGCCAAGCAATATGCTTAGCCCACAGCCTCAGCTTACCTCCCGCATCTTCCCAGATGGCCGCAGCCCCAACTGCTCCCAAACCAGCTGCCAAACACACTATCTTCCCCCAAATGGCTTTCAGATGCAATTATATGTTGTCAATACAAAATCTGTGGTGCGCTAAACAAGAGCCAGCCGAACATAAATGGCATTTTAATATCGAAATAAATAACAGGGGGGCAATGGAGGCTGAGTGTGTTTTATTCGTGGCCAGAGCTTATTCACTGAAAGCCTCCCAATCTTTTAAAGCCTAAACAAAGCCAATGTGGTCTTTCCAGGCTGCAGCAAGGCAGCATAACAGAAGTGAGGAATCCTGCTATTGATTTTAGAGAGTGCAAAGCTTGGGTGCAAAGATGGATGTGTGTGTGTACCCATGCCACAGACTCCTGTGGATCTGAGCAGCAGTACCCAGGCTGGGGTTGTCTGCAGGCTGTCAAATTGTAGCTGCCTGGCTGTTTGCTGCTGCTTAGAGGAAAAAGAGAATGAGGGGGAGTGTACAGACAGACAGAAAGAGGACTGTGTTCCCTCCTGTCTGTTATCCTGAATCTATGGCAGGGAGTGGGAGCAGTGCTGGATTTCACCCTGCAGCACTTTGGGAGACCAAGGCCCCAAGACCTTCTTGGGGAAGAGGGATGGAGCAGAGGGGAAGGAGCCCACTCAGCATTGGCCAATGCCCTTGTGTCACTCTGATGTGCAAACACAGACCCCACAGGAGCCTTTTCCTAGAGGTCTTTTCATCTGATAGTTCAGTTTCCTGGAAATGTATTCCAGTTTCTGCATCCATTGTGTCCTCCTATCCCATACAGTTTGTTCAGCTCTGATGGAGGGGTGTTTGCTGGGCATGGGACAGCCACTTGTTTGTTTTGTCACCAGGTCTGGAGACCACTGATATTCTCTGTTCCAGGTCTGGATGGATGCAGGCACACAGATTCTCTTCTCATATGCCATATGCCAGGGATGCCTGACAGCTCTGGGCAGCTACAACAAATACACTAACAACTGCTATAGGTAAGAGAAGCCTAGGTGCCTTGATCTTTCTGGAAATTTGCTCAGAGACAAATTGCACAGGGCTGTGCCTGATGAAGACAGACCTTTGGGCAATGCTATTTTGAATAAGGATGTGCTCGTAGTTTGGGATGGATTCAGCATAGGGATTGAGATTGCTAGGGCAATAGGGAGGAAGAGGAATGGATATGAGTATGCCCAGCCATTGTGGTGATACCACAGGCTGTTTCAATGGGGCGAGTGAGCAGGGGCTGCACAGCTATCTCTGCTGTCACTTGCTAGGTAGGGGAAATGATACAAAGATGATGATGGCTGGGCCCCCTGTCTCTAATTCTTCACTAACAGCAGGGTAATGTATTGCCAGTGGCATTTTGATCCTATCAAGGAGATTAATCAAGTCTATCTGGCCTCTTCCTTGCCCTTGAATTACAGCTCTATTTTCTCCATGGCCTGACATGAAGCTCAGTAAAGCCATCAAGACAGTTTCTGGCACATTCCTCAAAGTCCTGTGGAGATGGGGCTCTGTTATTACTTCCAGTATTGCTCCACCGCAGATGGGAAAATTTTACAGTGCTCTGGAGACATCAGTCATCTCTTCTGCCCTTCTCAAAGAGGTGCTGCTGTGGCTGCTGGCCAGGCAATTAATACTTTTCCCACGGCACTCCACAATGTGTCTGTCACCCATGGAGCAGTCTGTTGACACTTTCCTCTAGTATCTTATGTGCCTTACACTGCTGGCATGGCTCTAGATATCTCTCCAGCCTAAATACTTTGCATACCTGCACTTCTCCATAGCAATTGATGGTTACTTTGGAGGGAGCTGAAGAGCAGTATTGATACTCCTCTGTGCTTGGGGAAGCTGAGTACGGAAGTGACACTAAGTGGGCCCGCTGTGCAAAGGGAAACAGTGTGCTCTCTCATCTCCTCCTGCAGGGACTGCATTATGCTCTGCTTCCTGAACAGTGCCACCAGCTTTGTTGCTGGCTTTGCCATTTTCTCTGTGCTGGGTTTCATGGCTCGAGAGCAGGGTGTACCCATTGCGGAAGTGGCTGAATCAGGTAGGCTTTTCCAGCAGACTTTGAGCCTGAGGAGGCTGGGGAGGGGGGCTTTTCTGAAGTGAAGCCCAAGATGTTATCTACATCCTCTGTTGCTGTGCTGTCTGCAGTGAGGTCTGCAGGACCAGTGCTTTCAGATGTGGTCATGCTGCTATTTGTTGGCAGGTCCTGGCCTGGCTTTCATAGCATACCCAACAGCAGTAACAATGATGCCCGTGTCTCAGCTTTGGTCCTGCCTCTTCTTCCTCATGCTGATCTTCTTGGGACTGGACAGCCAGGTACAGCAAACTAACCCCCCTTCTCCAACTCCTAAGTGTCTGTTGACACTCTGTGCACGTCCTCATGCCTGTGGGAAAGGATTAGGTGGTTATATGCTTTGCTGGTACCTCAGATACCTTCTCCACACTGTCCACAGCTCTTTTATACTCACAGCCAGGGCTGAAGAGAGGCCCTGTGGTGGCATCTCTGTTTGGCATCTTTATCCTCACATATATGTGAGGGTGTCCCAGCACATCTCCAGCTGCAAGGGGCAATGGTCTTGCATCCACCTCTTACCCTCCAGTACTCCAGGAGGAAAACCCAGCAGAGCAGTGTGAAACCCTGGTAGGCTGGCTCAAGGGGAGAGGGGGTGTCCTGGCCTGGCTGCCAAGCAGGGCATTCTGTTCAGGCTATACTTTGTAGCACCTAAGCCTTCGAACCTCCACTTCTCTTTGTTCTCTGAATCAAAGTCCCCTCTTTCCTCACCTTGTTGATTGTTCTCCTTCACGCTGGCCTAGCTGTCTTGGAAGAAGTCTCCAAGTCTTGAGGAGAAAAGGACAGTGAACATGTTCTTGGGGAAGGGGAGACTGGGCTTTGTAACCTATATTCTCCTGCAGTTTGTCTGTGTGGAAAGCATGGTGACAGCTCTTATTGACATGTTCCCGGGAGTGTTTCGAAAGAAGGGGCGTCGGGAGCTGCTGATCCTGGCCATTGCAGTGATGTGCTACCTGCTGGGCTTACTGCTGGTCACTGAGGTAAGAGAGGTGGAGTTGGGCTACAACCAGACACCAGAAATCCTGCATGACTGCTCTGAAGGAGCACTTAGAGGCAGCAGGCTTGTCTTTGATGCTTTTGTTTATCCTTCATTTTTAATGCATTAGCAGGTGTCTCTCAGCCAGTGTTGCTGATGGTGTGATGCTCCTGCACCTGTTATGGAGTCACAGAGACAGCCCTGCAGCTTGATAAGGCTGCCTTATGCAAATACCCTTGCTCAAGCAAGCTGAGCTGCATATTCAGAAGCTGTTCTAAGGGCAGTGATCAATTGATGGCTGTTTTGCATGAGAAGCGGGGTGGCAGGAGGGCAGGATGGGGTAATGAGTGCAGCAGCATCTTTCCTGAGCCAAGGGAGAGCCTGTTGTCTCTGGACCAGAAGCAGCAGAGTTGTGTTGATGCAATGCCATGCATTTGATCAAGAAAGTTTCAACTGTGAGAAATTGAACTCAGGCATTCCATGGATTTGGTATGCCCCTCGTGTGGAGGCATCTACACCCATTGTTGCAGGACACCACCTTATATATGTTGGGATGAAGGGATTCCACTACTCCGTCAGTGGCTAGAGTCATTCAGCACCCTTGGAAAGCATCTGCTTGACTTCTGCTGGCATGGCTTTCTCTTTGGAAAATGAGGCGACTGAATTATAGAGCTAGCTGATGGCAGGGCTCAACCCAGAGGTAGGGGCAGCAGGAAGCGATGTGCCTGCCATCGTGGGGTATGGACCTTGAGAAATATGTAAACCTGGATGCAGGCAAAATAAGGTATCATCTGAATATCCTGGCAAACAGGATCCCAGTTTCTTAGATGCACAGATTTTCACTGCCATAGTGTTTTGAAGTAATGCTGGAAACTTGCTAGGTGATTAACAAACAAACCCAAACCAATAACAAAGTGCTCCTGTGGACATAGAAACCTGCCATGACTCCCTTTTCTCTACCTCTATTACAGGGTGGGATGTACATCTTTCAGCTCTTTGATTACTACGCTGCTAGTGGCACGTGCCTGCTATTCCTGGCCATTTTTGAAGTCATCTGTGTAGGATGGGTTTACGGTAAGTAGAGGACAAAAACCTGTGCTGCTGCTTCTCAAGGCTAGGGCTGGGGGTGGAAAAGTGGAGGTGGATGGAAAAGATTCACCATTCCCTTAGGAAGCAAAGAAATGCTGTAATTACCCTCTTTCTTGTCTGGTTTCCAGAGAGTTTCCCCACAACATTTTTTAACTGCTCTACATTTAGAGTGGAAATGACTTTTCCATCTCTGAGGCTTCCTTATCTTGTGTTACCTTGCCGCTCTTTCTATTCCTCCTATGGGTTAGAAAACTAGCTACAGAGCAGTGACTGCTGTTCATCAGACTCTGTTTCAGTCTGTACCCTGTGCCTCTGGTTTAATCCTTCCAGTTTGTTTCACACAAAGTGCTGGAATACAGACTTGCTGTGTGCCCCTTCTGTGATGATGCATGTTTTATATTTTTCACAGGCTGTGATGGCAGTCCCAAAAGAAATGAATGGGACTGCCTTGGCACTCAGTGAGGACCAAACCATGCAAGAGCAGAATTAGGCTGAGCTCAGTGAACTACCAGAAGGAAACCAGTTACTTGTTGGTGTGCAGTAAGCAGAAAAACCTGTGGTATTCCAGGAAGGTCTCTGCCCTGCTGAGCAGTGTGTGAGCCCAACAGGCTGCAGTCCACCTCACTGAAGTACACACGGAGGCTGGTGGTTTCCAGGAGAAGGGGTTAGTTTTGTGTGTTATGGAGCAGAGGCTTCCTGTCCTTGGCATAATAGAATCATAGAATCATTAAGGTTGGAAAAGGCCTCCAAGGTCATCTAGTCCAACCATCAGCCCATCACCACCATGCCCACTAACCCATGTCCCTCAGTGCCACATCCACAGGTTTCTTGATATGGCAGTCCAGCATCTTCAAGGATAGCATAAAGTCATAAAGATGAGACCAAAATGACAGCATCCCCAAAAGCAACACCTGCTGGCTCTTTGCTGCACCAGGTAGTGTGTCCTGATCAACCTTACGAAAACATTGCAGGCATCATTCATATCTTTTTTTTTTTATGCTAGCCATGGATATTTAGGGAGGAGTATAGGGGGAGTATAGTAAGTTAGCAATGATATTTTCTGGGAATATTCTTCCAACTTCTAAAAACTTGTAACTCAAGGATTTCCAGGGCCAAAAGTAAAATCTTCCTATTTATCTTCTGTATTTTTTTCTAGTTGGCTCATATAAGCATTTACCATCCAAAAAGCCCTACAGCAAATAGTTCCACAGCTTGGTCTGTTGTGGTATGAAGAATCACAAACTTTGTCTTATTTTGAACTTGCCACCTGCCAGTTCCTTTTTCTGCTCCACAGATCTTACTTCAGAAGAGATAGGAGAACAGTCAGTCCACATTTGGTTTCTTTGGTATATGTGGTTTTACAGAGTTTGCCATGGCTGTAGTGCAATTGTTGATAAAGATGTTCTCATGTCATGTTCTCCAAACACTCAAACAAATCAAACCAATTTCTGGTCTGGAAGGACTTCTCTCTCACTGAAATGGGAGCAGGTTCTGCTGCTTGTGTTTGACCTTCCAGGGATGCAAGAAATGTGTCTGTAGGAGAGATTTATTCTAGAGAGATATCCTGGGAGGGAAACTCAAGTGAGAGCTTGCAGTGCCAGACCTTGGCCAGATTTGAATTTAATCAACTTCTGTAAGTTCCCTGTGAGATTTCTAAGGAGAAGGAGATTTCCATCCATGCATAACAGGCTTCGCTATCACCACCCTGAGCTACATTAAATTTACATTACAGTTTGCCCATTCTTCCCTTCTTCTGCCCTGCTCCTCATGGCAAGTAGCCATTCCATGGGTCTGATTCTGGGCTGAGATGCAGATAGTAGGCTGAGACAGGCCACCTTAGTGAAAAAGATGTGCCTAGTGCCAACTACTGCTTTTTTCCCAGCCTCAGAATTGGCAGGACCAAGCCACTTGCTTACACTGTGAAGAATTACAGCGTTTTCGCTAACACAAATACGTGCTCTGAGTTTCCCCTCTCCCAGCACATACGCCAGCCGCCCACCACTTGGCAGCCTCCATCTGCTGACAGGCAGATGCTCTTGTTCAGATCTAAGGCTTTCCTCACGTACTGCTCTCTGCCTGCACAAGAACCTCACAGCATCCCACCTGCCACTCCTGTTTGCTGCAGGGAGGGACAGAGGTGATTTGGTTTCTTTCCCCACCTGTGTCCCTTCCATTTTTGGCAACACAGCCCTCATATAAGTGGGTACTCTTCTTGTGCACTGGGGTTGCAGCATGATGCCACAGAAACATGGTATGGGAGTGATGTTTTTGTTTTTCAGGCAGTCACAGCATGCATATTAGGATAAGCTGTTGCAGGAGAAAGCATGTGCCTCCATCGCTGCATGAGAGCTGGGGCTGAAACCATTAGAACTGTTTACAAAGCTAAAGCAAACTGATGCCAGCAGGCACCTGTGGGTGGCTGCAGGGTGAATCTGTGTTGTGCTGGTATAAATCTTCCTCTCTTGCTCACATGCAGTGTGTCTACCAGCAGCAGCAGCGGGCTCCTCCTGGCTGGATCCTGCCCATCAGGCCTGCACTAGCTGAGTTTGCTTTATCCTCTTGGATGCCCCTGCTACAGGCAACCTCACATTGTTATTTATGGATTGCAAAGGCTCTTTAAAAGCACCTGGTACCCAAATGGCACACGGTTCCTGCAGTGCCCCAGCAAATGTCCTGCCAGCATTTTCACGGGTTTGGCACAGGCATGGGCACTGCAGGTTTGAGACAGCAAGAGAGCAGCCACAAGCTCAGAGCTGTGGCGTGGCATCAAGGTCATCATGTACTGACTTTCTGTGTATGAAATTCAGTAAGATGAATGCAAATAAATGCAGCATGGGAGAAAATATTTAAAAGAGAGGCTTTTGTCATAGGCTCTACACTAACAGTTCAAACAGGATGTACTGTGTTGTGATTTAAACCGGCAGACAACCCAGCACCATGCTGCTGTTTGTTTGCCCCCTCTCCTCACTCAGGGGATGTGGGACAGAAAGGGAAAAAGATAGAACTTGTAGGTTAAGATAAAGACAGTTTAATCAGACAGAAAAATAAGAGAAAATAAATAATAATAATTATATACTACACAAGTGATGCACAGTGCAATTCTCTCCACCCACTGACTGATGTGCAACCCATTCCCTGAGCAGCAATAGTTCTCCCGGCCAACTCTTCTCCATTTTGTTGTTCAGCATGACACCATATGGTACAGGGTATCCCTTTGGCCAGTCTGAGTCAGCTGTCCTGGTTCTGCACTCTCCCATCTCCTTCTCTTCACTCTGTTCCCTCACTAGCAGGGCAGCACCAGAAGCACACACGTCCTTGGCTCTGTGCAGCACTTCACAGTGACAACTAGAACATCAGCATGTTATCATTATTCTCATCCAGAATCCAAAACACAGCACTATACCAACCACTAGGAAGAAAATTAACTCTATCTCAGCTGAAACCAGGACATATTGAAAAATATTTCCTGGTCTATATACTTCATCTGTGAAACACACTGTTTCTGGGTGTGGAAGAAAAGAAAAATCTCAGTCCCTTTCAGTTTGGGTATTTCTTGCAGTTGTTATAAGCTACTTCTAATATTCTGGGAAGAAAGGGGGACTGCACAAATTCTCTAGCTTCTAAGTTGTACAAAAAGCCAATGCTAAGTAATTGATGATTTTTTTAGCTTGATTACTTTTCCATATCCTGTGAAAAGCCGAACATATAAAAGCTCCCATTAATGTACTTTCTGAGGCTGTTCATGTCAGTGTCCATCGTGTTTCACCACAACACCCTACTGCTTGCCACAGTGGTCCTGGAAACACAGGACCTGATGGGAATACTACAGAGAATAGGGATGAGAACAGGTGGACACATGCTATAGTTAGCTGTAAGGTTTGTGTTGTTTCCTTAATGGAGAATAGACGTGTGCTGTGTCTTTCTTTTGGCCTGGCATCTTTGTGTTTCTTTAATCACTACGTCTCTCACTAGATCTTAGATCCAAAAATTGCAGTGAAACTGACTTCAGCCGTCAGCGTGAATTAATTTATCCATCGTATATCTGACATCATGGTGTGTTTCTGTGGAAACACTGTACAGTGTAAGAGACTGCGCTATGCTGCAGCCATATCATTTATCTCACTCTCCTTTTTTTTTTCTACCCCGTGGAAAATTTTGGTTTTGTGGCAGAACATATTTTTATATTATCTCCCCTTCATCCCCAACATATTTTCAGAAACATTATCTGAAGCCTCATGGGATTTGTAGCATGGAAGTTTTAGGGTTCTGTTTTCTGTAGGCTGGGCTCCTACAAAAGGCTGCGTGTCCCTTGATATGCGCAGCTTGTTTTTGCTGGAAGCTACTTGTTAACTTGCCAACTCAAGATGGGAACCATGAGGTATTCAAAGAACGTGCTCCTCCCCATCCCTCTTTCCTAAATGCTTCAAAAGCTGATTTTAAGGAAGCTTTCCTGCAAACATTAGTCATGGGATACAGAAAATAACACAAAGAATTACAGAATAGAAAAACATGCTTAATATGCTTTTGTAGAATTCACACAAAGGGAAAAGATCTTGGGACTTGGTCCTAAGACGGAAAAATGTAACACAACAAAGCACATTAAATACTAAGCACATGGTAGTGTGGCAAGTCCTCTAGGATAAATTTTTACCCAGCCTTCTGGTATCAAGATGCAAGGAAGCAAGGTCTCAGTTCATTTGGAGATAGGAACCCTGGCAATGAGTTCACAGTGGGATGAACAACCCTAAAACCAGAAGCCATTCTTTATCAGCTAAGCACTATGATAAAACTTCAATAAGACAAATACAGTAACCATTTCTACGGGCAACAGCTTTTTGTTTAATACTATTGCCCTATTTTACCTGAAAAAGTCTGATTTAGTATCTCTAGTAGTTAGGAAGATCTTAATGCATTCTTATGAGTTCATTCTTAAGAGGATCTATGATCTATGGGATCTTATTCCTTGAAGACATCCTAGAGCTAGAAGATCTGCTGATTTCCACTTTCATTATGTTGTCTCCTCTGTATATCACTGCATGCATTTCAAGTTTATGCTTTGGTTTGAGAAGAGTCAGTGGATAGGGTCTGATCTGTGGAATGATTTTTAGATGCTCTTTAGAGGTATATCCCACTCTGTTGCATCATGGGATTCAGGTGGGTGCAGGCTACTATTGGCTATGTAAGAGAAGCTGATTTATTTTTAAACCCTGACATTAACTGGAACCCTCCGAATTTTTCTTGAACACAGGGTCAGATCTTTCCATGGTGTTGTGATGTGTGTACGGAAGTTAGACTTTAATTTAATGGGCCAGTCATGCAACTTAGGTGAACAGTGAGAGAAGGAAGAGATCAGGCATCCACAGATTAACTTATATTGAACAGAACAGCAGTACTTGCAGATGGAAGACCTGTTTTCTAGCACAGTTTGGATTTCCGGGTCTTTTGGTTTTATACCAAAAAATAAATATTCTGTGGAAAGCAGGCTCTTGGTGACAGGTAAAACACCCAGTTCAGTGTGGATTCTTGACATAAACTCTTTGGTTTGTTGAGCTGGTAACAAAGAGAGGGTTTTATTTGGTGTTCCCTGCTCTCTTTGTTTCTTGCATCACTCTGGACTCACACATTCCCATCTGCTCCATCTGCAAGAGCTTTCCCTTGTTGACCTGTAAACCAAATACCCCTCATGCTAGGGGCTGAATTCTCTGACTTACAGCTGCTGCTGTCTGAGGGACAGGTTATTTATTTTATGTCAAGCTTTCTGGAAAGTTAAGGCTGAAATTAAAAGCCTCCATCTGTATTTAGCCACAGGTGAGCATTTTGGATACCAGGAAAGTCTGTCACATGCTCTTATTAGGGTAGCCATGTTTTTTGCCAGGAGGAAACACTGAGGATAAAGAAATATGGGATCTGATGTGAGTTGTGATTGAAGGAAACAGCAATGATCTTACCTCCTCACTTCTGACTTTGTCTCTGTGCTGGCTGGTGGCCAAGGTGCCAACCGCTTCTACGACAACATTGAGGACATGATTGGTTATCGGCCGTGGCCTTTGATCAAGATATGCTGGCTGGTGTTCACCCCGGGTCTGTGCTTGGTAAGTACGTGCAGTTATGACAACATAACATATTATTCTGGGTTCCCACATTCTTTGTAGGAAAGGCTGATTTGTCTTCAAGGTGCTACTGTCATTTTATCAAGCTCCTTGTGGAGAAGTACAAGTTTGTCCATAGCTGAGGTGTCAACTTTTTTCCTTTGTAAAGCCTTATCTTTTGCCTGGAAAATTAATTAAGCCTGAAAAGCCACTTGTTTACTGACAAGGCAAAGGAAAATGTATCCTAAAAGTCTGAAGAGCTTTGGTCAAGTTACTTTTGAATAGAAGACTGGTGAGTGTTACACTGTTCTGAAAAAATTGCTTCAGCCCATGTTCCTGCAACCTCCCATGGCTCAGAAATATCTTTCTATGGCCATTTGCTTTCTGTGTTATTAAATCTCTTTGAAAACTTTTCAGACAACTGCATTAAAAACAAAACAAACAAACAAAATAACAACAAAAAACTTCAAGGATAAGTTCCTGCCTCTTTAAAGTTCATGTCCAGTCTTACTTCATTGACATTTACAAGTTTTCTGTGCCAAATTCTGATTCCACATCTGATCTTGTGGATTGTTTCCTTTTCATTAGTGAGAACACAGGATATATAGCTACAGTTTACATAAGAACTCTGTTCCTCTGTCCTTGGAGTCCACTAGGAATTAAATATTGGGGGAATTTTCCAACTAAGTCTGATTAAGCCCAAATTATTTGAGTGTTCTGTGGCTAGAGACCCCCAAGATGGATGTATCTGTGCCTGGTACTTCTGAAATGCTTCTGAAAAGGACAGCAACAGTTTCTGACCTCAATATGACTAAATTTCAGTCTCTGTGTTCCCAGACCCTCATATCTGCTGCCAGTTTTACTTAGGTTGAACCCACAGGGAGCCTGCAGAGAAGCCTGGTCCTGGCTGAGAAAACTGTGCACACAGTCAGCATACATCAAGCTCTGGCTTGTTGCAGTGAGCAATGGCTATGCTAGCTCATGCACAACAGCACACTCATTGCCACCTAGCTGGCACGTGTAGGGCTGGACTGCCTCACTCCCTCTGCTCCCTACGCCCTGGCTATGTTTGTGTTCTGTGTTCCCCAGGCTGTCTTCTTGTTCTCCCTAATCAAGTACACACCCTTGAAATACAACAATTCTTACGTGTACCCTCCCTGGGGCTACGTGCTGGGCTGGCTGATGGCACTCTCCTCCATGGTCTGCATTCCTCTCTACATCATCTTCATCCTTCTGAGGACCAAGGGATCCCTGAAACAGGTACTGAGATTGTGGTCACTGGGTGAATTACTGCTGCTTCCCTATGACAGCTCATGGGAAGGGCCCTGGGGAGGATACACATTGCACATTTTTCCTCTGAGAAGGCAAGGAGAAGTGTGAGTGCCTTTTCCCCAGAATGCCCTACAGCTATTGTTGACAACATGTAGGGCTTGGAGGTTCTCAGCACAGCTTTCAGTTTGATCATCAGTTCTCCAGGGTTTTCCATGAGACATGGTGCTACCATTCATGATGCAAAGCGTAGACAGATATGGGCAGAACACCTCTAATGCTGGCTCCTCTGGATGACAGAGGGCCTCCCAGTGTGTGCTATCTGAGGCCACATGCTGACTGGTTTGACATGCTGACGATGTTAGTAAAAATGGCATAACACCATCTTTTACTTCTCTTCCTTTACTGACTCGTGCCAGTGCAAATCAGGTACAAAACCAAGATCTGTTTTACCTTTTTTTTTCATGTCCCTTGCCTCTGCTCCCCTTTCAGTCCTGAGTGATGATTGTGTTATTTTCTTTGAAGAAACTGCACATGACTATTAAAGAGGAGATGCTCACAGACCTACAAAGGTCTACCATGGCCGAGCCTATACTCGCCTAACTGTAGGCCTGGGACAGCTGTCTAAGAAATTGTTGCAGAACTGGCTAATGTCTGTCTCAGGCTCAGAAGAATTTCAAGTGAAATACCCAGATGGGGAAAGTGATGATGAAAGTTCAGTGAATAAGTGAGAGGGGCATAAGCCATACAGGCGGGGAGGTGAAGAAGGAATACAGTCCTATTAAATATCTTCCTTTTTGCTGCCTTTGGCTATGATGCTGATTGCTATTGGTGGCCATGAAGAGGTGACGAGGTTGGGAGGGAGCTGGCTGCTATACTTCTTGATAAAATGGCTTAGTGGAAGATAAATTGTAATTTCTCTTCACCACTGAACACAGATTTAAGGAAAGGCACCTCAACCTTTCAACCTTTTAACTTCCCTAGCTATTTCAATTTGGAAATGTATCCCTCCCAATGCAAGACACTGTAAGTCAATCCTGTGGCAAGCTGTCATGATATGGTTTGCTACAAGTTCAGATCTGGAATCCTAACTAGCCCTGTCTTGTGCTTCAGACCACTTAGCAACCCTGCACCTTTCCTATCCCACAGCCAGTTTGAAAATGGTCTTGATGGCTGACACTGCATCTGACTCCTGACAGCTCAGAGGCTTCACATGCCTTTATGAGGACTCAGGGCTGTCTGTGAAGTGATTGCCTAAACGTCCTGCTTGCTGAACAGGCAAGATGCCTCACTTGTTGCAAAGTTCTTTGAGTCCTCAGACTAGAATGCTCCTCTAAGTGGTGCTAATGCTTATTTTACAGCACATCAAGAAATTGCTTCAGCCAGTTTCAGACTAGCATTTTCTATTTGCCCTGGTTTAGGTTATATTACCTGTAATTTTCAAGGACCTCTCAGTTATCTTATTATGAAGAAATTTCCAAATGGGTGCTTGTGGCATGCAGGAAGGAGCCAGCTACCAAGCCTGGGCTGATTCAGGGGATAATCAAAGCCAACCTCATGAAATCTCCTGGAATATTTGCTTCTGTTTTGTAAACAAGTTTTCTCAAAATATACCTGTTCCATTTTTCCAGTCACGCCCCATAAATGTAATGAATTAGCTTCCTGACACAGCTGCTTCCAGGTACAGTGCCTTTTAACTGAATATTGCAAACCGTTCACTGAAAGTGAGTTTTTAATTGGCAATTATGATCAGTTGCTGCAACAAACCGATTCCTCTTGCTCCACTTGACTGATCAAGAAACACAAATGTTGTTGCTTAATGTGTCTGATTAAGACAGCTCAAGTCCCAAGCACTGAAAACCTGCAGTGAGTTGCTCATGGAGAAGCTTCAGGCCAAGGCTGGTTTCACAAATCATGGGGCAAATGCTTTTGAATAAATGAGTGAAATCGTGCATCCTGGCAGGCATTTCACAGCGAGCAGAAGCACTGAAATTAATCAAACGAGTCATGGATGAGTTGTCTGCTCTGCTGTGGTATGCCGTGTAAGGGAGGAGCGTGCCTTTGCCGAACAGCTCATGAAAGAACAACAGCTGTGACTGATCCGGGACATGGCACAGCAGAGGGGAGCTGTGGGCAGGAGCCCCCTGGCCCTGTGTCACTCTGGTGAGGGGCTGAGAACATCACCAAGGGAGGTGTCATCTGCTTTCCACCAGGACAGAAGGTGCCCAGCACTTTCCGACAGTCAGGACATACAGAAGGCTGCACAGCCCCCATCAGACTTTTCAGGAAGCAACTGGGCTATTTGGCTAAGGAAAAGAGTAATTGGACTTTACCCTGTTTTTTCTATGGCCACAGAAGGTGTCTATGGGGTGAATTTCTGGCATCTTTCCGCTCAGAAATATATCTGTGGGGAGCCATGTATGTCAGCTTGTCAGTCCACAGCACAAATCTGAGTCTAGGGTTGCAGTAACTGTCCCTGTGAGCAGCTGAAGTGAGCCCGCCCTGCTTCACCCCCTTCCACAGCCATCCAGCAAGAGGGGAGCGTGAAGCTGTGAGCATCAGCTCTACAGATGCCTTTGCCCCCAGCAATGCTTGTAGATCACTATTGGATGCCAGTTTGTTTATCAGCTTAATTAACAAAGACTTCCTCTCCACAGCGGGTCGCACAGCTGATTTCCCCAGCAGAGGATCTGCCACAGCCCAGGAAGCACGTGGTGGCTCTGTCTGAACAGAAGCTCAAGGAGCAGTCCTCTCCTGTCCAGGAGATGCTCAGCATCACAGAGAGGGAAACTCATTTCTAAGGCACTGAAGACATCGCTTTCGTACTCTGAGTTGATTCGCTCTCTCCTTCCTGGAGTGGTTTCTTTTCCTGGACTCTTCCCTTCTCTCCTTCACATGGGACACCCCTGACTCCAGCCAGCTGTCAGAGGGGTCCTCAGAACTGATACTGATGGAGAGGGAAAGAAATGCAAAAAATGAAGTATAATAACAAAAAAGAGCCCCACACACACTCACATAAAAAAACATCAGTTGTGTTGGGAGGAGGAAAGGAAACCACAGAGGTGAGAGAGAGCAGAGAATAAAGGTGCGCAGTAGAAAAGTTAGGGATACAAAAACACAAATGGTGGGGTGTTAGCACAGGAAATAAGCAAGTTGGTTCAGAAGTACATAAGAAGCATGAGGATGACAAAGGGAAGTGTATTGCTACATCACCTATATCCAAGGGAGAGGGTGCCAATAAGGTATCACAGGCTGCAGTGTTAGTGGTGATGGCTTCAGAACAGGAAGAGTGACCTTGGACAGGGCACTGGGTGCAAACACAGTTATTGATGCTGGATCTCACAGCAGGCTCTGGGTGGAAAGGGGGAGAAAGCTAACTATCCCGGAGGTGTGCTCCCAGTCAGACACACACTGGCCAGTGAACATGTATCTGAGAGTGAAACAGCAGAATCTTTGGTGATTCTCTCAGAGAAATCATGGAGTGAAGGCAAAGACCCAGAGCAGGTTGGTTAAAAATGAGCTGCAGCACAGCAAAGAGAAATGGAACCCTGGAGACTGCACGCCCACAAATTTAACTGCACTGCTGGGGCATTTTATGGAGGAATTAATGAAGGAGTTGATGGGCCTGTTTCTGTGTGCAGAGTAGCTTTGGGGCAAGAGTGGGAGAAGGATTGTGCTGCCTCTGCTCTGCCACCAGTAACTGCTCAGGGGACGTGGCAGGCACAATCGGGCACAATAATCATAAGCTCAGAAGAGATAAAGGGATAATTAATAGCTAAGATGACTTCATTGGCAGCAGACTGTGTCAAATTAAACATTCCCTGTTGCCAGGGTGGTCGTGATTGCAGTGCGATGGCTGGGAGGGATGTCATGGGGATGTGACGTTTGGAGCTCTGTCTCGCAAAGGCTGTTATGTCACGTGTGGCCCAAACACTCAGTGACAAAGCCTACCTGAATGCCTATTGAGATTTCACAAAAGCCAGCAGCAATATCTCCCCAGACCATTTACCACGGTCCAGGGAACGCACACTGGCTTTGGGTCTGCCTTGCAATAGTGCCATATCACAGCACGCAGGAGACTTACCATTAAAGAGAATTGCAGGTGCCACAGGCTCCTTTCCCTTGTTCCTCCTTCCAAGTAATTGCTCATCCCCGTGCTGTGTGGAGATAAACTGCCAGCGCTGAAAGAAAGTGGGGAAATCAGGTCTCATCTGTGCAATGCAGTACCTTTTTCCAATTGCTATGGGAACCTTATCTTTTGCAGTCTTATGTGAGTTTAACTGGTGAATTAGCATAGGGGAATTTTTTCCCCGTTTAATTTCCTTTCCTTTAACGTCTAAAAATTGTTGGTGAAATGAACGCTGAAAGTCAAACATCAGAATTTGTACCTCTCTGGGATATTTTCATTTAATCGGAGATGATTTGCTGTAGAAGGTAGAGACAGCTGGCAAGCCTTGTTATTCTTCACTATGAAGGACTGCAGCACCACAGAAGGCATCACTTATTTTATTTTATTTATTAAGGAGCTAAGTGTTGTGTTGCTGCAATGGTCTTGGGAGGAGCTTAAAATCCAGACACTTGCAGCCCTGCCACACGTAAACATTTTGGTATTTTTCCCCTCCTGATAGCAGTACTGCTCACAGTTTGTTGGGGTGAACCACCCTCTACAGCAGGTCCTTATCTGTGGCTGGAACAACAGCTCCTGGTGGCCAGCATTGCAAGGCCAAGGCATGTGGCAATGCAATGATGGCTCAGCCTGGTCATCTGGTGAAGCCACCAGCCTCAGGTGTCTATGAGTGCTTGCCCTCCATCAGCCCCAGAGGAGGGCTGTGCACAGGCAGACAGGTTTTGGTAACAACCACCATCAGAATGGCGGCATTGGTTTTGAGGAGGAAATTTGCTTTCTCCAATCAACACAAGTTCAGTAGCAGGACTGTGTCATGGCATCCAGATTCAGATAACAAGGGTTTCTTGTGTGAGCCTTGATAGGATGTTCAACCCCTTGGCTCCTTTAGCCATGTCTTTAAGGTGTAAGATAGTGTCTTGCTGCCAGAGAAGTGGTGGAGGTGTGGCCACTCCTTTTCCTGAGGTCTGAAGGCAGTGCAGTAATCCTAGATAGAAACAAATCACCTTGCAGTTTTGAACACAGGTGTGGAGCTGTGTTACTGCAAATAAACACAATATGAACTGGTTTATCTGTTGCTTATGTATAATCTGATAGCAGTGTCCCAGACCTGTCAGGAAGCAGCATATTTTAACAGTCGGAGGAGGAATTGCTGTCATCACTGAAAGAAATTACAGAATTTCCAGGATCAGGAAGCTCATCCAGACATTCTGGATGGGACTGAGAGAATTGCAGGAAGCTTAAGGGAAAAATCCTTGTGATCTTGTGACGCAAGCACACCCAGCTGGGGTAGACAAGGAAAATACCACCGACGATTATTTGCTGCTATAACCCCCAATGCATGCAGACATAGTTAGAGATCAACTAATGAATGGTTTGTTGAACTCACACAAACATTGCTGCACACATACTAGGCATCTGAGAGGTCTTTATCAGCCTCTAGAGGATGCCCACACTGTGGTCAGAGTTGGGTGTCTGTCTGAAGAAAAGCCACCATGGTGCATATGTACCATCAGAAGGGATGTTATGGAAAGGAGGATTTTGTTTTCATGTAGTGGTTGATAAGACGTCAAAACATAATGCATTTGAAGCTGAAATCCAAGGGAAGTTATTAAATGGTCATTCTCTGCTGCTCCTCCCAGTCAAAGGAAAAATACTGTATATGGAAGTGAAGGAAGACATCTGTAAAGCACCTAATTGCCAGGTTTTTTTACCTTTCTGGGGGGAGGTGGTTGTTTTATTTTTCATTAAAAGTTCATTTCCTCTGCCAACCCTCTCCAGCAAGGAAAATCAGGAAAAACTTTTTTTTTTTTTTTTAATAAAAGAAGAGAAAATGTCTTGTATTTTCTTCTTCCTTTTGTCTTTGTTTCTTTCTTTCTCCTTTTTTTTTTTTTT